GCGTGCTTGCTTGCGTGCTTGCTTAGGACCGTGCAAATCTTTCGGTCGTTTTTTAACCCACTTCCCGTGATCCAATCGAGCTGACATTTTCCACACAGACTCGTTGTGCCAGACAATTAATGTTCGTGAAAAAAAATTCCCAAAATTTTACACTTTTTAGGCAAATTTTTTTTTTTTACATATATTCAAATATAACTCATTCATCGCTTTGGCTGAACGTCACAGTATAAGAGCCCAGAGCGTAACCCCTCCACAGGCCGTGGCGGAGTAGCGCAGTTGGTAGCCCCCTCGCTTCCCATGCCAAAGGTCGCGGGATCGATCCCCGCGTCCTCCACAGGCGAATATATTTTTAAATCCTTTATTTTAAGTTCGCTGCCACGCATATAAAGGATTTATAGTGAAAAACTTTGTTTTTACGGGTTTACTTGTCAAACCCTTTATATTAAGTTCACTTGCTTGCTTGCTTACGACCGTGCAAATCTTTCGGTCGTTTTTTAACCCACTTCCCGTGATCCAATCGAGCTGACATTTTGCACACAGACTCGTTGTGCGTGACAATTAATTTTCGTGAAAAAAAATTTTCCCAAAATTTTACACTGTTTATGGAAAAATAAATAAATATTTAATTACCAATTGCTTAATGGTGGCAGACAATCATCTGACCCATAGGTGGCAGCCATCTCAAGCCAGAGGACGAGAGGACTCTAGCCGCCCGTTTCATGATGACGCAAATGTTGACTAACCACATGGCATGAAATCCCTGCCCCCCGCGCTGTACAATGGAGACTATTTATAGAGCAGTTAAATTGAAGCCGCCAGGTTCTTGAAAGTGGTAAAACGGGTCAACGCTAGTGCCCTCGGGAATATAGGGGCATGTCAAGAGGTGATCTTACATATAAATGATTTATAGTGAAAAACTTTGTTTTTACGGGTGAATTTTTATATTTGTTACACGGGTGGTCCCCTTCAACCAGTTGCCCAGCAAGGGAGATCCGTGGTGCATTAGTACAGCAGCAGAAGCAATGAAACCAAGAGTGGCGGCGGTCAAGTCACGGAATGCGTTCGAGAGGCTGTGGAGTGATGAAATCAGCTCGGATGTGGGATCCAGATGGTTTTGTTGCATCAGGAGACCGTTGACACAACATGGTATCATGACATCAATGTAGAGTCAGTTGCAGTGATTGTACAGGGTGCCTCAAAAATATGTTAACACTTCCGAGAATTTGCAACAATACCACAAGAAATGTGATTCCGGGCTCTGGAGATCACCTGGAAAAGATTATATCCGTGCGTTGACAATGATGGTGAACAATTGGAGACTCTTTGACTTTTTTTAAAGCTATTACCATACATTTGTTATCATGTTACAGTGTATTATCCGTTCTTTTTCCATTAAAACCGAGTCCCAAATAAGTGCAGACAACATTTTGAAGCACCCTGTATTGTTCAGGAATAATGACCGATGCAATTGCCTCATCGGCACAGGGACATATGAATGGCACTGATGCGGTGCGAATGCCATCGAATTCGCGTGAAACATTAAATGCTACCGAATTCCGCTACATTTTTAGCATCAACACACTCAACAAAATATACCATAACATCATCTGAAAAGTAGGTGCTCAACCAAGACCGAGGTATAAATGAATACAAGACTCATCAATGATTGTTTCTTACAAAGTTATTCTATATATATCGTGGAATAAAATAAGTATAATCCACAGCAGAGATGTTGCGATAAAAAAAACGATTCGTGTGCAGGAGCTACATGGATTTTTTTTGCGTCGCAAAACTACGAGGAGTTTACGACGGCCTTCATCCGGCAATGGATAGATCAAGATGACATTATAGGGGTGTAGTTTACATTTAAATTAAACTATTCCTTACATAGCGAGCAAATTAATTATTTAAAAAACCCTGAACTTACGATGAATGCAAATACATCCACTCAATATGCACACAGTATGTGGAGTGATGGGAGTTAAGCGCAACCGAGTAGCGGTCAGTACGTATGCACCCGTGTCCAGCGACCGTCTAACAAGGAAAATGACAGCCCCTTCTCACCGAGACAATCTTCCCCAAGTGGATACAAGATATATGCAGTAAGTATGCTGACAACATGTACCCGTGACGTATATCCCCTCGCTGACTCGTGCCAAGTGATGCGTGTGTCACACCCTACTTGGCAGCTAACATTCACAGTCCAGAGTCCACTGATTTGCTGTTGACATATATGGGAATTGTGTGCATTAAGTGTCAATTTATGCGGGTCACATTGAGCGCCGATGCAGAAGGGAAAAAATACACTCCATATCAAGTCACGCTGCCCCGTTATGGATTGCACAATTTGCAATATAGAAATACTGTGGATGCACACGCAGGGATTAATTTTAGCCGGAGCTGTACTCCAAAAATATTCCTTGAGAAATGAAGCCCTGTGTATATATATATCGTAGTCTTCGATTTCAGGTGAAGGTCACAGCAAATTATAGAATTTGTGTAACAACCTACAGTCAGTCCATTTAGGGGAAGGCTGAAATTTGTTGGGTAATTTGACTACAAAAATAAATGTGTACGGGGGGGGGGGCACACACACGAGGAGGGAATGTGAGCTGACACCCGTGGAGACATCTCACTGCACGAGGGATTTGTGCAGGCACGCTATGTGGAAAGCATTTCACCGTCAATCTTGCCTGAAATTATTTAGAAAGATCCAGACATCGGCCGATTGTGTGGCAAGTTTCGGGTGATTTGGTTTGCAGAAATTTACGTAGTTTTTTTTAAAGCATATGAAGCATTTATCTCGAGCAGATGGACATCATTCTCAGGGCTGGCAATAAGTGACCTATCAGCTCCAATGTTTAGAGCGCATTATTCACACACATGCGATAGTATAATTTGCACTTTAATAGGGGCTTTATTACAATTTAATATTTTTGGAAGTTTGTATACATTCTTTGCTACAGGATTTTTTGCAATGTTCTTCTTAGTATCTCTCATATGAATAAGCAAATTTGAAGTATGCAGTTATACATGTACACATATCCGCGTCCCTACCTCCTCAACCACAAGCCTCATCACCAATAGTGTATGAAATCTAAAGTAGGTTCATATTCTTAGGTTTTTTCGGTAAAGTCACGTAGGTAAAAAATTAAAATGAATAAAAGTAAAATAAAATAAAAATCACGACGTTTCGGAGGCACAAGCTTCCGTCTTTCAGGTGGAACCGTGAAGACGTAAGCTTGTGTTGCCTCCGAAATGTCGTGATTTTTATTTTACTTTTATTAATTTTAAATTTTTACCTACGTGACTTTACCGAAAAAACCTAAGAATATGAATCCTTGCAGTCACGAAAGCTTCAAATCTAGAACTAAAGTAGGTTGTCCTCGAAAATTACGGAGCATTTTTATCTTTCAATTTTTTGCAATTGTACATTAAACATTTCTAAAACGTGTCCATAGCTTTGAGTTCTTCAATCATTTACGTTTGATTGTTAGGACTCTTGGAAAATCTGAGATGGCCAATATGGTCTTCATTAATGCTCATGCTTTTAATTCTTCCATAAAAATAAAAAACGAATGCATCTTTGTATAACGCATTATAAACATGGACATTGATTAAGAAAATGGACAAAAGTGTAATAGTACACAAAGCAAGTTCTCAATGATGAGACGGAAAGAATAGCACATGGATTAGAGAACATTTGTTCATTCGAGATAACATTTATTATTATTATTAATAATTATAAGCAGACTTGGGCAAGAGCACATCACTAGATTGAATGGACTGTGGTCGAGACTAACAAAGGAGTGACAGCCAAATGAAGGAACATGACTGAGGGTGTCCACTGCAGAGATGGAGCAATGGAATCAGTTTGTGTGAAGGTGCCGGATGGATTATTGCCGTGGTTCTTAACCTTTACTGCAGCCTTGCACCCCCCTTTGGTTCTCAATCGGTATTTTTTAAAATGTTAATACATACATAGATTTGATGAAACAAAGTAGTTATATTTTGATTTAAAGCTTTCGTGACTGCAGGGATTCATATTCTTGGTTCTTTCGGTAAAGTCACGTGGAAGAGAAAAAATAAAATACAATTTTCTTGCTGTTTTTCACACCTGATGATGATTGCTTGTGTTGCAGTCGAAACGTCGTGAGAATGTTATTATTTTTTATTTTTATTGTTTCCCTTCTACGTGACTTTACCAAAAGAACCAAGAATATAAAGTAGTTATACTTACGTGCCCGTGCTCAATTTGTTTTCGATTATTTATCTTCTAACAAAAATCTGGCCACGTCTCGCACCCCCCAGGCAGGGCATCTCGCACCCCCCGGGGGGTGCGTGCACCCTAGGTTAAGAACCACTGATTTAGTGCATCGCGAGACTAAGGGAAGAGAAAGGCTTGGCTGGATGAAGTCCTCTCGATGGCCCTGTGTTGGTAATGGGAGTTGATTGTATGTTTCTGTATGTATGTTTAACTTCTTTCGCACCGTGCTAATCGGAGGTTGCGGTAGTTTTATGGCACTTCATGCTCTTCCATATATCACTTGAAATTGGCATAAGCCGGGAGCAGGAATCAAACTCTGGTGGGTCGCTGCAAGTTGCCAAAGCACACACGGAGCACATTTAAAAATATTATTTTTGTATTACCCATTAATCAACCAAACTATCTACATATTGGGAGAAATGTCCCACCCCCCCCATCCACACCACGTATTTGCCCTGCATGGTGTTTTATTCTATCTGCAATTTATGTGGCAAGGTAATTAGTGGTATGACGCATACATCGTCCACAGGAGAAAAAAACAGGACAAGATCTGGGAAAAACACAGATTCGAGCGCGGCCAAAATTGTCTGGTAATGTAACGAGCAATTCCTAGCATATGGAAAATGTTTGCCAATACTTTTGGTAGGCTAACAGCAAACTTGAAGATATGGTATAACCGCTACCAGAAACTCAAATAGGACGACAATCACATATTAATCAACACTGGACAAGGTGGTTTTTACCGTTTTACTTTGTGATGCACAAAACCACCACGTTACACAAACAGAAGGCAGTGAGACAAAGGGAACATAAAGTAAAGTAGAAACCAGTACATAAAAAAAACAAGCGACAGACTTACACCTGCAAATAAAACTGGTCCAGACTATATCGTGTGTTAAATAGAAATGGTAGCATTGAGTACGACAAGACTGAGACGGAAAAACGAATGTCGTTGCTATTTGTAAATATTTTTTTAAAAATATAACGAATTACATCCAAGTTAAATGGTAAACAATTTTTGTAAAAAAAAGAAATCACTTTCAAACGATGCTTTATTCCTCTAAACAGTAATCCAACATTACGAGATATCGTGTAAGAAAATTGATGCAACTAGCATTCCCTTTTTGACGGCCTTTACCATGTTTAAAGTTGTGCTTTGAAATTTTCATAAACGAAACGATAAGAGGGAACATGACACATTTGGCCACCTGATAAGGCCTTGACTCGCTCGACCTCTTGGGTATAAACCATTCCACTCGTATTACACTTTTCTCAGAAAATATCACGACACTCATTTATACCAAGTGCAAAATTTTACGTTCGGGCTTTTTTTACTTTTGCTATGGAGCACTCCGTTAATATATCCTAATCCAAGGTCAAAGAAGAGTGGAGGAAATGGGCAAAGGTAACAAACGCAAAGCTGAAATTCCGAGGTGACACGGTACACCGAGTGTGGCGATCGACTCTTGTTCGTTTGTGGACTCGATGTCGATAAAACAACAAGTGCAAAAATTGTGTCCATCCACGCTTCAAATTGTGTCAAATGGCTGGCACGGTTAAAGCACCAAAATACAGATTTCAATTCTCATTTCAGTTGGCGGACCACCAAATATTTAGAAGCGTAACTAATTCGCAGCCATCATAGTGCACCAAGTGTGAGGCGGCGATGCTTTAACGCTCTCAGAAATGTGCAACATTAAGGTAACAGCATAAAAAGAGATAAATGCGGGTTAAAACGATGGATTTTCTCAAGCTAGATCTGCGGCATTTCAATACAAGTCATTTTGCATAATAATACTGGATGTATGTTTACCCTGCAACAGTCCATACAATATTTTAAAGGTTTCTCATTTGTTCTGCATTTTCATAATAACAATATGCCCTATATGCCTGATAACTGTATGCATTTATCAACCTAATTATACATTTGAAATAAATAAAATGTGCAGTACAGGTAGGATGGTACACAAATCATCGTGCCAGTAACCCATGAATAAACACATTTGTATGAAACTGTTATTTTCATGCCAGAATAAATGTTCGTCACTTGTAGCCTGACTGCTACACGCGAGATGTCTGCAATGCACTCGTTTATCCATTTACAAGTGGTGCGCTGCCACTGTATTGTACTCTCCCGTAAATAAAGAGCACGTTGAAGTGGTGTGTGACGTAAGCGTACTGCTGTGTACCCTTACAGGAGAAGCAATGAAATAAAGCTATTATCATCAGTACCAAAATAAACAGTCTCCAGGCAACTCTGCAACCAAACCGAACCTGGCCAGGCTGACAAGACAGAGGAATTGTCTGCCAATGCATCAAGAATACATTTGTAACATGTGACCCAAATCCCTTTGTCACGACCAATCAGCAACCGGCGCTGTCGTATTTTGCGTAGAAGAAACATCCGAGGTTGGCCGTTACGTCATTAGTTTGGAAAATATATGCATAATGATCGGGACCATTTATAAAACGAGCTTGACGGCAGAAAAAGGGAGTCACAGCAAAGAGTGACCCGAGCCAACGATTGACACCATCCACAGTGGCGACCCTGGAAGTTCAGATGAAAAGGTGGCAATGCTTTCCACAATGCCCTGCAGCATTGCCTCCTGTCATGCTTTAAAGCGGTTCTTCGAGCAGAAGGGCAGGAATAAGTGTCATGTAACCATTGGACATTGTGGAGGCTGAAGTTCTAGTTCAGATAGATCCACCGTTAAAAGCAGTAAGCATTCGGCACTGCCAGGAGAGTTCTGTCTGTGAAAGCAGGCAGGTGCCAAATTGACAGCGCACACATCGGGCTGCATGGCCAATGTACCCTTCACAGTCCACAGACATTAGGCCAAATGCACATCGCCGCCGTACAACGTCCGAGTCGTCTGACAGGGAGCAAGAAAGGCTGTGCTCTCTACTCACACAGAGGGCCACTGCCCCTCCCAGGTGCTCTGTGCAAGATGCTCGACACATGACCCAGTGGCGCGGTGACCACTAGTCGTCGTACGCAGACGTGGGGCAGTAGTTGGCAACCACCTTGGGGTGAAAACAAAGTTCGTTTCAATGACAAACGTAATGCATTAATGTGCACGTTTTCAAATACATTTTTTACACAACAGATTTACAAGTTGAATGTGTTTATTTAGTTTTGCAAAATTAACAACAGGGCTCTTTAAACATGCCATGGGATTTCAGCATAAAAAAATGCTGGCCGGGTTTTGCCACCATAACACAAGTTTTCAACTCATGCTTGCAAATGCATTCATCGCCGAGTTTTCCATCAACAGGCGTACAGTCCAACGTGGCATATCCGACTCGATGAGTACTGAAGTTTAGGTGGATGTGAAAATGTCGGATTTGTGAACAGCTAGAGAAAATGACAGTTATACCACGCACAAATACCACAATTGGGCACGGGCGGTTTATTGGTCGGAACGGATATGCGACGGTCGGATATACGACGTCGTACCGTGAAACACCCATATGTAGGGGTGGGGAGATTAATGCAATGAGGGGGTGGGAACTTACCCTGGCTTGCAAAAGCGGAGTTTTGACAGCTCCGGGGAGGACCCTGCTGCCGGGGCCATCGCCGGCTGGGCCGCGTCCCCCGGACTTGTCGCGCCTCGTAGCCGTGTCGAGGCAGCGCCCGGGGGGGGACTGCTCCCGCCGCTGCTCCACCTGCCGGGCTCTCGAAGGCCGCTCCGACGGCCCCTCCAGCGCCCGGCCCGGGGAGCGCTCCCTGTGGCCGTCCCTGCTCCACTGGCCGCTCTCTCCTTCATCCCTCTGCGCAATGACGTACACACGACAACGTGCGGTCCTCTCTCTTTCATACCACTCGTCTCGGTACGCGTACGAGGCGGTACACGTTAATAGACAACCCCCGCTAAGGCAATATGGTATCTGGACGATACCAAATATACTATTTTTTTTCCGCACCTCCGATTAGCACGGTTGGCTAAGTATGGTCCGAAAGAAGTTCAACATACGTTAGTTTTATACAATATCAGAATAAAGTTTTTCTGGCTGGCTGCCCGGCTTGCACAGTGGTGGTGACGTCAGCGCGCACATCTGCACGATGGTGTCATGCGCATCCCAGAGCGGTTGAGCGGGGTTCGTGCGTCGCTCTGATGTCACACACCTCCCTCCACACCCACCCTCCACCCCGACCGTGGATCCCGCGCAAATGCGCGGGGCAGTGCTAATTGGATTTTCAAAAATAATATTTATTCTAGATTTTTTGCGACAATTTTTCAACTTTTTGAGAGATTTTCGAATGAGTTATATTGTAAGGCATCTACGTGTCTACATGTGAATAAAAGTGACGGCACCTAATACCCGATTGAAACTTTTTGGGGGGGAAAAGTGTACTTGTGACATCATATTAGTGACCTTACGGATTGAGAATCAACCCGAGACAGAAAAAAACAAGATTTGCCCGATTTTGGTATCATCTTAATCCAAAAATCAACGAGCACATCGCTATAATTGAGATAAATAATGGAGAAAACACTCTAATTCACTGCCTCTGTCTCCCACCAATCTCTCTTTTAACACTCTCCTGAGACACTTTGTTCAGCATTGCTGTTATATGTTGGACAAGGTGTGGAGAAGAAAATAAGAGGGGTCATTACAATGAAACTGGGTTTATCTTATAATGGGCCATTCTGTATATTGCATAAGTAACAAAACGATACATTCTTCAATTACACTACCTGACACGCCATCTATTGTTTAAAAAATGTCCCCTTCAATTACGGCAGTTTTGTTGAATAACGTGATCTTTTGTTATCAGTGCTTGTGCAACCCATTGGCAGCAAAATGTAAAAAATGAAAAAAATTCCGCGCAATCTGCATGAGCGGTGTTGTCCGTGTACGCATTGGTGCATTTGCACGTTTGCATGGGTGCACTTGCACATCACGTGCGCGCACGAGCGGCTATGCAGAAATGGCTCACCTCTCTGCGGAATTCTCTCTGCGCAGGGCCTGATCGATCCGACGAGCTGCTGTCCACCAGCGAGCGGGCGGGCGATGCGGCGCGCCGCTTGGCCATGTACTCCGTGTAGGACGGGGGACCCCGCTTGTTTGGACTGCTTCTCAACGCAGAAACGCAACGCGGCGATCACCGCCGCGATGGGGAAAACTGCAGAAGGGCTGCTGAAAACGAATCGACTCGCGTTCGCACGGCTGTGGCCCGCGTGTCAAAAAACATTGCAACGCAAATTTTTTTTTTTTTCCGGAAAATATACATGATAGCGTACGCATTTTAAAAACATGGTGAGATTAAATCCCAAATCCTCACAGAACTCTTAAGACCATAATACTCTCGGGCAATTTGATGGCAATCGTTCCTAACAGTCTTCACCGGAAATAGTTGTGGCTGTGTTTTCTAATGTTTTATGGACAGAACTGCATGATTCTGTTCCATTGCAAGACAGGTCGCAAACACAAAATCAGAGTAAATGCAGTGCAAAAAGTAGCGAATGCCGGCGACGACTGCCATACAATTTTCCTGCTGTATCATCGCATTTAGGGAAGGGTTGGCGCAGTGCAGGCACAGTGCAGGAGCAGTACCTGGCGTTGCGAGCAGCGGAGGGATACGGAGCGCCTCTGTCCGGCTCTTCGCGTACAAGGTTGCCCTTGCAGCAGATGATGCGTAGCTTGTTCTGGTAGGAAGAAGCCAGGTAGACTGCACCCCCCGAGATTGCTGGCCCCAGGTACCGTGGGCTTGGGATGTTTAGGAAAGCGCGCATGGGCTGGCTGTGGGCAATACACCCAAGGTGTTAATCGCACATTGGTCAACAGTGATTCTTCTCAACTGCACGTGGCATTGACAGAAGAAGCATCTTATGTTCTAGTCTCCGTATGTATGTATATATGTATGATGAAGTTCTTTCACAGCATACGTAGCCAACCACGCTAAATGGAGGTGCGGGAAAGGACAGCTAAACAAAAAAAACTTCTAGCGTGAGCAGTGGCAGAGTGGTTAATGCACTGCGTTATGAACCCAGCCGCCTGAATTTGATTTCCCAGCCAGGGCTAAGATGAGAAAAGAGCGAGCGAGTGAGCTCTCAACCGGTCATGTGCAGCCCCCCCTCCCCGCCTACACGAACCCACGCAGACCAGCAATGTGAAGTGTGGTCCAACTCTCATTATCAATGACATGTGGGGCCTTCATATTAGCAGTGGATGAACTAAGGACTGTACTCCTTAGACATGACTCCGAGAAGAGACACGCCGCATTTAAAATTGATTCGAATGCTCATAATAAAAGTGTCGAATTGTGTCATCGAGAAGCCATTATTTTAGTTTCATATATATTATAATTGGCTTAGGTGACGACTGTAGCCACGAGGGGTGCCTATATTCGCCACAATGTAATAAAAAAAAAATGATATTCTGAGGTGGCCAAGTGGCTGCCAGTGTGGCACGGCTTAGATCCTGGCAAGTTCCCCACAATTAAAACTGGATTTTCAAGTGTTAATTTAGTTTCACACTTAATTTGCCTACATTTCATGTTTGCAAATCATGCCGATACGGTTTGTCAAACTATATCAGAGCTTGTGGAAAGGATGATACGGCCACATGATAGATTTTTTCCTGTGATAAAAAAAATCACTTGCTTGGGCAATTCTCTGACACACGGGATGCAGGGCTCTGTGAGATTTTCGAATGGATTCTTTGTTTTAATGGCACGACACCGAGAGAAAAACTGTCATTTGGCAAAACATATATTTTATTAAGAATGCATTCTTGAAACAAGATCTTGATCAGGCGACCAAACCATAATCATACAGAATATGACGACACTACATGTTCTTGGCATGTACTTGCATACATATACATGTTGAACTTTTGCACTGTATGGAAGCCAACTTTGCTAATTGTAGGTGCCTATCGGCACAGGATTTTATTGAACAAATCGGCAGAAGAATTGCTTTGTCTATTTTTTAAAGCAACCTGGAGTGGATATATATAAGTACACAAAAGGCACTGCAGTTATTCGTTTTCAAGGGTACAATGGCCATGTCTTTCACTTGACAGGCCCATGCTGTGTCCTGGCCATTATTTATGCCTCGCAAGAAGTGTTCTATCGACATCCACAGCCACTTTAACAGTTCACAAAAAAATAATATATCAATTTTTTTTAAATGTCTGCATTTAAATAAATCGAACATTTCTTTATATAAAACACAATGCTCGCGTACTTTTGTTCATTGCTACCACCAATGGGGCAAAGCACTTCCACGTCTTCTTAAACGTCTGGCCAAGGTGAATGAGTAGACCAAAATACCGTCTAATAGAGGCTCTCTACTGCTCCATCTAGTGGAGTCCTTTCTGACAGCAGTCGCGTGAGCAACAGATTGAGGGCTGGACTTTCATACCGATCTGTACCCGCAATGCATCCCATTGGTATTATTCCCGGAAGAGCTAAGGAGACATACGCGACAGCAAATCCTTACCTGGCTGAGTTCTTCCCATTGTTGTGGACAATCTCAATCACCTCCAGGGAGTTGAAGTGGGTCACAAACAAGTAAGGCTCTCTGTATGCTAGGGTTGGTAAGGAGGAAAAAAAACATTGAAAATTATACTCGGCAGGCAACAGTTAAAAATCTAAAAGTTAAATTATTTTTGATCCCCTAACAGGAAAGGACGAGCATATTTACCATAATCTCCGGATTATAAGATGCATGTCTGTATTTCAAAGCAAACGCTAATCTGGTAGCCGTGTGTAGGTGTGCGCGAGACAAGATTTGCATAACTTCATTGGGCACCACAGTGGTGAGATATTAACTCCCTCGCCCAATATGTAGGAGGTCATGCGTTCAATCCCGACCGTGACGCCGGTTGTATATTTGGAGTTTGCATGTTCTCTCCGTGATCGCGTGGATTTTTCTCCGTTTTTTTCCCTCCACATTTAAAATCAACGTGCGTTTAGAGTAGTTGGGTGCTATAACTTTTCATGTGATAAGCCGCTTCGTTGAGCTATCATTTGTGGCCAGGTCGCTTCTGAAAACAAGCTATATAGCTCAGTGGGCCTTACCTGGTAAAATAAAAATAGTTAAGTTTATAGTTTTAGCTTGATACCGAGCACACGCTTGGGGTGTGCTTCTTAAGTTTCGAGCGTGTCCTATATTCCAGAGAATACGGTATTGGGTAGTAAAACAGTTGACAACGTGGATAAATGGGCACATTCATCAATGCCAGCATAACAAGAGGAGTCTTACCAAAGGCCAAAGGCAGGCGGCTCCACTTGAGGTCCTCTGTCCTGCTGCGTCGCCCGTACGTGTCAACAAACACCCCAAATTCTGTCCGGCATAAGAAAAAAAAACAGTCAAACGAATACACACAGGGCAGCTCTGAAAACAAGTCGGGGGTACACTCCCCTTTTATTCCACTAGTGAAATGTTCTTATGACAGCAAGGTGACCGTTGTCATCATCTTTTTGAAATGTACACGCTGTCACAATAGGCTTAAATGGGCATATAAATAGTCAAGGTTAGTGGCAGGATGTGATAGTGGACAGTCTTGTACAGGCGGACATGCTAATTCTCATCATAAGACGAGAGTCCCAAGGGCAGCGGGTGAGTAGGTCAGATTTTAAATTGAGCCGTGTGTATAAATATAAAAAAAGTGCCTTCCACGTTACCCACTCCTTCCCTCCATGAGTTCTGTGCCTACTTAAGCCCATCAGCATCATGATGTATTCCTGGCTCTGCGATCTTGCATTTACTTGCAAATTCCATCTAAAGCCCCGACCACTCCAAGCATATAAAACCTTTGGCTGCAGTAGCTCTCTCGCTCTATTTCTTCCTGCCTCAGCAGTCCGCCTGCTGTATTTGTTCACCTGAGGACGATTGCTTGTGTTGCGATCGAAACGTCGTGATTTTTTCATCATTTTATTATTTTTCTACCTACGTGACTTTACCGAAAGAACCAAAGAATATCATGAGGAAGTTCAACAATGGTGATTCTATGTGACCTGTGCGCTGCTGTAGTCAAAACGATTCAAGCGTTAAATAAAATCCCGTACGCGAGTCACTCGTTCAAACGGCAATCGAATCGGAATGCCCACTGTGGCCAGGTGTGTCGATTTTACCGTGGAAGCAAAGCAGGTACTCATCCCTGTTGGCAGCACCTGACACAGGTGTGATAGCAACAGGGAAACTGAGGTACGAGGAGGCGTACACGGCCGAAGACAGCGATGGGTCGTTCTTGTCCAGGAACTCTGCGGAAAGCAATGAAAGTTGTAGGACAACAGCAGTACGCAAGAAATATTTGGTGGTGAAGGAGAAGTTTCAGCCACTACTTTCAACGACTATTTTTTTTATTCCTCAAGACTTATTCTCAAAACTTTGGTGAAAGTTGTGTTGATGAACAATCGTTGGTCTACGTCAGTTACCTTGCCTGTTACCCACTCTGGTAGCAACAATCAGATTTGTGCACGTTTGTAAACTTTACACAGAAAATGGCGCAGAAACCCCTTGTATGGCAGCAACAATTGCCCTGAACCAATCCTCGTGCATATACGGTTTTTAAGCAGAACGGCAAGTCTCCAGTCAGAGACCTATCAGAGTGCAGAGATGTACCGGTGTTTAATCACATGATCTCTCCTGCATGTGCAACGGGCCTCACCTTCGAGCGTGTACTGTTTCAGCTCGAGCTCATAGAACTTGTTGGTGCCAAAGATGATGCTGTAGTTGGTGTAGTGAATGCAGCTACATGGCTCACTGGTCTCCACCTCCTGCCCAACCAAAGCAACCAACAAAATCGTTCGCAAAAAGCAAACATTACTACTGCGGCAGCGTAACATGAACACTGCCAAGCACGCGCTCATTCACATTCATGCATGGTTACAAAAGGATGCTCTCTCTAAGCCGACTCGCGTAAAGTATTGTTTTTTTTGGTTACAAACGATGCACTCTTCCTGAGACTACATTGTTTGAATGGTTGTTTCAAAGGTGATATAAGGGACTTGTCAATACCAAGCAGCAGCAGCAGTGCTGATATATGAATTATATTCGAACCCACATATTATTTTGCAATCGTAAAAAAAAACTGCAAGCAAAAATAGCATAAAAAAGAAAACTACCTTTTTGTAACACGGCGTCGGCGTGGTTAAAGAGCAAAACTTAACAAAAATGCAATACATTCAACAATAACACAGTCCTACATAGGAAACATATCAGGCTAATGCCCAAACTTTATTTAAAAAATGGCAGAGAACTCGTTTTGAGATGTTTTAGGCAATGGCCCTTCTTCAGAGCAGAGCAGAGAGAGCTTGAGCTACGCTATGAAAAGGGACCACTGGCCCGGACCATTGCCAATTAAACTATTCTCTATTTTTTTTGGGCAGCGTCACCGACAGATGTGTTTAAAAGAAAATTGGTCAACGCGTGGTACGTCGCACCACAGCGTGAACCAGCGGGCGACTGAACTGACCTTGCGCAGACAGAATCGACCGAGGCCGCTGTTGTAGCGCAGCACTGCTACGTGCGTGGGCATCGCCGCGCAAATGCAGGAGGAACCCTCCACCTGGTGGACGGAGAACAGAACGAGTTACATTCGCGGGATGTGGAAATTACTTCAGGCCCAAGATGCTACATAATGCTACAAGGCAAAAAAATAACGCACATTAAGAGCATCGTGCACTCGTACAGATTTTACAATTGAATTAATTACCGGCATTGATTACTACAATTCTTAATTTCACACCGGAGCGGAAAGTTGAATCGAATCAATTAATATCAATGATTAAGCTCAAGATACATGCACTGAATTGCTGGTGTAAGAATCAATGTTTTTTTCACTGTCTTACATTGTACGTAATACAGTCAATCACTGAATGGGGGTAAGAATAAACGTCATCGAATCTTGCATGAAATCATGACCCCAAATGATGACAATTTATTGAATCGCTGGACAGATAAAATAATCCCACGACAAATAGAAACACTTTGGCAAACAGCAAGGTCTAATTTCTTGAACACATGTTACAAACACACAATGGCAGAATACATCTCAATATAAAGATAATCTGCACCTCTGTGTTTGTGGTTTGAGCAGCGTTGCGAGATGCACTTTGCATGAATGATGCGACGTAAAAACATGGAGCACTATTGTTATTACTAACACTCACCGTGCCCACGGCAAAAAGATGGCAGCCGTTGACGCTGTCAAACATGCTGGGCCGCACCTCAGGCTGAGCGGGCAGGTGGGACTGTGCCAGTGATTGCTTCACCTTCTTAATGTCCAGCACGCACAGGGTACGATCCTCGCCTGCTCACGATAATAATTCACAATGATTATTCCGTACATATGGTATTCTAGCTACTCTGAAGGCACCATGTTGCAAAGATGAACTTTGCCAGTAAGGGGGGGGGGGGCACTGTTGTGTGATTTTTTGGGGTCATTTTTTCAAATTTGGTCCGTGACGCCAACACACGTGGGCCTACATTTTTTTTACATCACGGGATTTTTTAACGTCCACTGTTAGGCAGACGGCGGCGTGCATTTCATCGGTTGACGTGCCCACAGTATTAACCAAGGTGGCAGTTGTGTTCGAACGTCGCTGCTACGACAGCCACACGTCAAGCACAAGGCCTTCGACTACTCTACCACCACAATCCTTGCAAATAACGGACAATCTCCAATTTTGTATCGCTGGGGAAAAGAAAAAAAACGTATTCAACCCTTACAATTTTTTAATTATGCTCTACTTTGAGTGGGATGTATTGTGCGTTCGTCGTAAGGGAAGAAATATATGTTGAAGAAAAATGTGTGAGCAGAGAGACCTAATTCATACCGGCAATCATCACGAGTTGATCCAGCTCTTTGACAACGTGAATTTGAAACACACTTCCCACGCCGGGAACGTGCGTGAGCGCGCTCTTGGCCACGTTCAATGCGTACAAGCCCTCCTCAGCTCCAACGAGCACAATCTGCAGGACGGCAATGTTGAAGACGCCGACAAGTATTAGCGAATTTCGATTTAAAGCTTTCGTGACTGCAGGGATTCATCTTCTTGGTTCTTTCGGTAAAGTCACGTAGAAGGGAAGTAATAAAATAATAAAAATAAAACATAATAAAATAATTCTCACGATGTTTCGGCTACAACGCAAGCAGCCGTCTTTAGGTGAAGAATGAGACACTGCCAAGCTTGGAGCTTATATATAAGCTGGGTTGGAGGTGGAAGAAGAGCGCCTTAACAAAATAATGTGCATATCAAGAGGAATTTAGCATATTCATAGGAAATGCGTTGGAGGTGGGCGGGGGGGGGAGTTCAAAGTCATATGCCCATGCATTATGCAGGATTAGCAGCATCCAAGGGAGGGGGTAGGGGGTAGCATTAACAAAGGGAGGGAATGTTAATAGTATGTAGAAGCAATGAAACATGTCTCGTAATGCTACCCCCTACCCCCTCCCTTTCATGCTGCTAATCCTGCATAATGCATGGGCATAATATGACTTTGAAAACCCCCACCCGCCCACCTCCTGCGCATTTCCCATGAATATGCTAAATTACTCTTGATATGCACATTCTTTTGTTAAGGCGCTCTTTCTTCCACCTCCAACGCAGCTTATATATAAGCTCCAAGCTTGGCATTGTCTCATTCTTCACCTGAAGACGACTGCTTGCGTTGTAGCCTAAACGTCGTGAGAATTATTTTATTATGTTTTATTTTTATTATTTTATTACTTCCCTTCTACGTGACATTACCGAAAGAACCAAGAATAAGTATTAGCGAAACTCAGTGATTCCAGCCACTAAATTAACACCTTCATCCGTTACATAGTTTTGAAATGGATCATACTACAAATATTCTGTGACTGCCCTCGGCATTACTCGTCACATTATTCTTTTAAGGCACACATACCTTGTTAATAAATATGACTGACAGCCCTTGGTCAATCACTTGTTAAATGAAGGCCACCCCATGCCGTGTCAGTGATGGGAATTAATTGACCAGACTTCACCATGCTGGTCAGTGCGTGTTGGTGAAGGGGCACTGGTTCAGTTACCATTTTCCACCAACGTTAAGTGTGGCTGGGAATCAGACTCAGGTTGCTGGTGTCTTAGTGCAGTGCATGAACCACTGCGCCCGCTGCTGCGCCCGAACATACATCAAAAGTCTTTCATGTTACATGATTCAGAGTTCAGACAAGTTCATACAATGTGTGTTCCAGTAAACAGGATGGACTAAACATAAGTGACGCGACATTAATTCAATCAATGTTAAATACTAATCAGAAAAGAACGTACCAATCGAGTCTTTAGGCTTCGGCTAACACAGGTTCTTTAATGAGATCTGTCTGTGAGACGTCGATTTGTGTCGAGCAGCCACTGTACTCATTGGTTACCTGATCGGTAAGGGGCAGAGAACAATTGATGTCCAATCGGTCATCTCCTTCAAGCTTCAGTAAAGAATTGCCCAATAGTTTCTGTAACAAGAAGTTATTCCCACAATTAAACACAAATGAACATTTGTACGTTTGCATTCCAATTTATCTTTCGGACATCTTATTATAGTTCACAATGTCTCCCCTTTCTTCAACCATTGCACTGGATTCCAACATCATCATTATCCATGATTCTAACGTCATCACAACTGTTGCACAGAAATCGGACTCGTCACACCTGGTTTCCCATGCAGCATTTTTTTAGCATCACGCACAGCCCTGCAAAGTCCAAAATTTGGACAAAGAAATGCAGTTATATGGAAGCTCACACAAACAAACACACAAATGGACATGTATCGTACAAATCGAAGGGCACTCACAAGAATATACTTTTTTTATTACAATTGCCCCAGAAGAATGACAGATTTACAACGAAAATCGAAAGCTCGTGGGCAAATCAAAGGACAGAACTCAGGGTGTTCCGGATAAACTGAGATGACTTGCAGATGAACCACCTGTGCGCCCCCCCCACCTGTGCCACATGGCACACAGGGGCATGGCTGGCCAGTACCACACCCGGAAGCCTTTGTCTCCCCAGTGGTGATGTTTACACACCGCAGTACTCATTTGAGGCCGAGTCGACCTAGGGGAGGCCCAAAACCGGTTTGAATAATTGTCACTGGCGTTGCCCATGAGTGGGAATCGAACTCGTGTCGCAGGGTTCGTAGTGTAGTGCGCTAAACGCTACAATACCGCTCCCCCGTGAGTTTCAGACACAAACAAAGATCCTCTGGCATAGCCTTAACAGACTGTTGGGGCAAGTGCTGTTAGCGAGCACCTATTAAGGCCAGTACGGCACACACAACAACTGCCATTCGACACTAGGTGGTGGTGACATCACCACGGCGCTTGTGCCTTAGCCAAGTACGCTTTAAGGCCACGTGAAGTGTCGAACGCCTGCTGGCAGGTGGTTTCGGGACAGACCCAGGTGCCATGGGGATGATTGACTGAGATGACTGACCAATGCACCACTAACACACAGGTGCACACACACACACACAGGGCATCGGCAGACTTACGCACCGTGTCGGCGTCGGCGCGCTCCTGTGCCACACGCCCGCCCGCCACAACCGACTCGAGCGCTGTCACCCAGCGCTGCTTGTCGGGGAAGCTGGGCGCCAGCATGTAGAGCATGCGACCCGGCCAGCACGTGGTGTGGGGGTGCGACTCCAGCTTGAGCACGTACGCTATGTCTGCATAGACGGATTGCGTTCAGGTGCATCCCGAGGGGATCAGAGGGCATGCCTCGCGACGATGGAATATTAACCATCGCAAATGGGGTAGGGAAATGTGCTTCAGCTTATGAATTTTTAATTTCAAGAATTAGGCTGGTTTATAGTTATGGATGATGAGGTTTGTTAAATGGACAAATAATGTTTTTAACTAGAGTTCAAAATCTGTTACTTTCTGCCTAACGCAAAGGATCATTTTCATTTACAATGCATCAAGTCAAAGGCCTCCCCCTCTCCCCCCCTTCACTACAGGATTGAGCATGGGTACGGTGATTATCGTGCTGCACTACAAACTCAGTGCCCCAAGTTCGATTCACAGTCACAACTAAAATCAGTGGCGGGTGATATCAGAACATGTCCTGGTCCCATACATTAACCATAGAGAAGTATGGTAAAAACAAAACCAGGACGGACGTGGATTGGGGAGGCCCTCCACATACATCGGTTGGTTGAGAACGCTGGAATTTATGTATTCATTACGTATAATTTTGAGAGTCGCACATGTAGCTATGAAAACAGACGACTTCCATCTTGCCTGTTTTCACGGTGTTCGACAGCTCCGACGGGCTGACTGCTCCGTGAACGGTGACATCTCCATCGGCGAGCACGAGATCAAACTCATCCACAGCCGGCGCCCCAGCTGAAGCCAGGCACGCACGCACGCAGCACACACACACACACACAGAGGGTTCGTCGTGAGACCCGTCTCGTGTCGCGAAACTCTCAAATAATTTAAACATCACAACGGTTCCTACAAAGCAAGCCGCCTACCAGTACTCGCTGTTCCAGCTAATAAAACAATTATGAAAGACTGGAACAAGTTCTTGTAAAAAGGTACATTTTTTGCCCAAGGGCAACACGATGCGTTATCATCTATGTGCCAATTTCTAGCAGTTGTGGACGGACACACACAATTTGCTTAATAATATCTACGGGACCTTTTTTGCCAGAATCAACGTATGAAAAATAAGAATAGGTTTAACCCTTTCTGGCAATAAAAAATAGGTTTTAAGATGTTCAAACAACAAATAGATACATTTTGCAATGAATCAAGTCTACATTAACCACACAGTACTTGTGGTAAAACATGCAAACTAACATGCTCTGATAATTTCTGCATTGTCTTTGAAACTGATTGACCTACACCAGAGACAGCCTTCTTTCCAGCCTTGTGTCACCAGTGTCAGACCAGAGAGTGTCAAAAGGTGAAAAGTACAAAGACAATGCAAGTATCAGAACATTTATAGCTCGGGTTGAGCAGTTGTATCTATGGCCTATGCCTATGTTAGATATATGGCCTATGCCTATGGCACACGTTATAATGGCGATTCTGAACAATACTTGTATTGGGGTCGACCGGCAAGGCCACCGGAACTACAACCGCAATCTCCCGGACGACAACTTAGGTTACCGGGACTCAGACGACCACTAGGAACAACTGAGTTTACCATTCGGCCCACTGCGATCACTTGCACATTGACGAGGACCACCAGAACTACCATCCAGACCGGCAGGACTACCGCCCGGAACTACGAGAGGAACACTGGGCTTACCACTTGGACCACCGGCCAACATCTGCTGTGCAGAATTGGAATAATTTTTTTCATTTACGAATTGAAAATGAGATGTAAAAAAAAATGTAAAAAAATGCAGAAACATGTAAACTTACAGTCAATGTTGTCATTGTCAAATATCTTGACCATGGAGCCTTCAAGCACCAAGTACTTGCGGTCCCAACCAAGCAACCCCTGTCGTCCATTTCTGTGACAGAGCAGGTAGAGTGGAAACGCTGCTGTTATTTCTCATAGACTACAAGAAAACATTCGATTCAGTGGAAACTGATGCAGTCGTACAAGTTCTCGCAAACAAATACCTAAATGAAAAAAACATATTAAAGAATTAAAGCCATTTACAGTGAACAACTTACACCGAGATTGCATCGATGCATTTACTGATGAAAATTATCAATAAAAAGGCGAGTCAAATCAGGGTGAAGTGCTTTTAGAAAACTGAATTTTAATATGAAAATTTAGATACCAATGTGCCGGAAGAGAAACTATTGAAATAGGTGCATATTATACGCAATGACATATTGGATCGGAAACTTGAATGGCGACAAAGAAAATATAACAAAAGTTCACAGTATGTAAAGAAGCATGCATATATACTTGGAATTACAATAAAGCAGAGAGTAGAATGCATGTATCAGAGAACATACACAAGTTAAAGACATCACTGACTGTTAAGTAAAATGGACTGCATGTTGTAGTGCAGTAGTTAGCACACTGCGTTGCTCCTAGCCCGATGACCCGCTTCCGATGCCCGGCCACGGCTAACATCAAGTCGTGGACAATATCTAAATTGGTTCTACGTCATTTTCCGTTTTACTAAAAATTAAGTATGGTAAAGAAAAATCTTCAAAACTGCCACGGCATGCGGAGTTAACAGCAGTGGATCGACAATGGACTGCAACACCTATTCAACCGCATTGTAAATGCGTTCATTTGACAAATTATATGGGGGGGGGAAAATACTTCATATGCATTTTACACATTTTCCTAACAGCATAGTGAACACCATTAGAACCTCATTTGCCAGTAAATATATGATAATTGTTTTTTTTTACCCTTCTATCTGGCAACAAAACTGACACCTTGTTTCCAAGGAGTCATGTTTACATAGACCACAATACCTGCAGTCATAATGCAAAAAAAATGTATGACTGCAGATATTGTGGTCTATGTAAACATGACTCCTTGTAAAAAAGATGTCAGTTTTGTTGCCAGATAGAAGGGTAAAAAAAACAATTAGCATAGTGAACGTCACTTACTCGCACAAAAAACATGTACAGTATTGGAAACCTCTTTTTAAACACAAACTCACCGCGGCACCTTCATCCACCCTTGCAAGCGCAGGCTGTGGGGTGGCTCAGGCAGCTTGAGGCCGGGCGAATTGAGTTTGTCGCGCACCATGGCCTCGCTGAAGTGCGTGGCGTACTCGACAGGCAGGCCGCACGTGGCAGGCAGGCACACGGAGCACTTGGGGTGGCACATCACCTGGCACTCTAAGCACGCGTGCAAGGCAGACGGCAGACGAGATTGGAATTGCATTTCCATGTTTTTATTTGAAAGTAGTTTTAACCCTCCAATGTAGTTTCGGGTCACACCGCGTATTGGCACCACAGTAGCTAGATGTTAACTACCTCACATTTATTTACAGGAGTTCATGGGTTCAATCCAGAGGTCGCAAACGGGTTTAGATTCCTTACCCGTACCCGGCCGCACCAGGGTCGCAAACGGGTACCCGTACCCGCCCGGGTACGGGTAGCCGGGTATCGGGTAGGGTACGGGTATCGGGTACCCGATTGCGACCTCTGGTTCAATCCCGACCCTGACGTCTGTATATTTGGAGTTTGCATGTCTCTCTCCCCATGGTCGTGTAGATTTTTCTCCAGCTCTTCTGGTGTTTCCCTCCACATCTAAAAACATCCGTTTAGAGTATTTGGCCACTATAAATGTCCACATGATAAGCCACTTTGTTGAGATATCATTTGTGGCCAGGTCGCTTCTGAAAAAGAGCTATGGAGCTCAGTGGGCCTTACCTGGTAAAATTAAAATTGTTTAGTTCATAGCTTTCGTTCGGATGGATATCCGACTTTTCAAATGCATGTGCTGGATGGGAACTTCTTCATAAATTCCCAGCCTGTGGGCCTTGGACCACTGGTGGTGCCCATAGGGCCGCTGGAAGTGATCCATGGTACTGTTGCAGATACTACGATTTCAAGCATTGTTTTACATTTGTTCCATATATTATCGGAGCACAGTGGTCAGTGAAAATGTTTTATTGAGAGTTGACATTGGTTCGTGGGCCCAGAATGGTTGAAAACCACTGTTATAGGATTGAAGCTTTCGTGACTGCAGAAATTACTGTACTCATGGGTTTTTTTTTTCGGTAAAGTCACGTATGTAGAAATAAATACAAATTTAACTAAACAAATAAAAATAAATCCCGACGTTTCGAACGCAACACAAGCGATCACCATCAGGTGGAAATGGGGCAAAACACAGCAAGGGAACACACAGGGGGACACCAAGCACACAGCGAACGGTAAACTGCATGGAGGCAAACAACAACAACAACAAGATGGGATACGAGAACTCAACAAACCTTAGAAACATAATGTGATGCAAAACCAGTCGGCCAACAACACAGTCAGACACCAACCTGGTTGACCACGTATTTCAAAAGACTGCTACATTTCGTATTCAACTTGTGATCTGCTATATACACGCCTACGCTGTATACACACCGCCGTCACTGTACATGTGAACACACGAATGTCAATAGGGGGGTGGGGGGGGCAATGGCGTTTGCGAAGACGCTTTAAAACAAACCGAGGCACTTGGAGGCCTGGCGGCCAAAGTGAACGGTGTCCAGGCACACGGAGCACTTGGTGGCTCTCATGTTGAGGCCGACGCTGAAGCGATGTGGGATGTTGTGATGCATTCTCTGTTTGATGTGGCGCCCCAACTCTGGAGAAACAGAAAAAAACGAAGCTGTGAGCAGTGCTTCTTTGCGTGACGGAGGAATGACGCCAACACCGAGAACATTATTCGTGAGGTACACTTAAAAGTTCAGCTCCTATCCACACTGGACAGGTGATCCTTTACTAACCCGCTAATGTCCTTGCAGTCAAATGTACAATAACATGTCGAGCAATATTTTAACAATCATCCGCCAGCATTACACTACAAAATCAGTGTATACAAGTGTTGACTCAAAAAACAAGCTTCTAAAATACACTCGTCATTTGCTTCTTTAAGAGCATTTTGTCAATCCACTGCTGGATGAAGGCCTCCTCCAAGCCATGTTTGTCACGGCAGTCGTTTAACCATACTTCACCATGTTTGTCAGTGTGGGTTGGTGAAGGGGGAACCCAGAAATGGTTCACGTTGGCCATGGCCAGGAATCGAACTCAGTTCGTCAGGTTCATAAGCAGTTTACGAATTATATGCACCGCTGCTCAACCCACTGAAATTTTTTAAAAGACATTTCGAGACTGACATTTACATTCATCTCGATGGAAGCGTGAGGTACCATCTGGAGTGGCCGATTGCTTCCTGTGGCTTGGTGGAGCCAGGAGACTCATGGGGCTGGGCTGATGTCCCGGTGAGCACACGAGTGCCGACATGATGATCTGCTGCTGGGTGTTTGCCGAGCCGTTGCTTGTCTGGTGGTCCACGGTTTTGAGATGCGCAGCTGTGGGGCCATTACAGAACAGGGATGTACGTGTGCCGAACTTATTTCGCAACGTACGTAGCCAACCGTGCTAAGCGGAGGTGCAAAAAGACAGAATACTGAGAATTTTGCAAAATGATTGCCTAAAATAAACACTCAGCTCTCCGAAAAACACGATGTGGCTCCGGGTCTCACCTTCCTCCCGTGCAGCTTTGAGCTCCACGCGAATCTTCTGCAGCATCTCCTCCAGCTCACTCGAGCGATTCTTCTCTTTGTCCAGAGCGGCCTTCAGCTCCGTGTACGGCAAAGGCAGCTGCTGCGGCGTGGGCCCATCGTCTTTCTTCCACCCAAACAGCCCCTGCACAGGCGTGTGTACAAGTCTTCACAGGTGTGCGTACAAGTCATCACTGCAGCGGCTGGGTCCATAAGCGGACCCGGTCGCTGCTGTGAGAAAAAATCCTTACAAGATTCAAATAGCATCCTTCTCAACCGCCCTCTGCATATAACTGTAATTTGAAAAGCCTAGTTACCTTTTTCTTCTTGGTGGGCTGGTCCAGTTTAGCTTGCAGGAAGTCAATAAGCTTTGTCTGCTGACCGATCGTTCCTTCCATCTTCACCCGCTCTTGTGAGAACATCACCTGTGACACAGAACGACAAAAGCACCGTTCAGTCGACGCGGTGCCTCAGCACAGAGAACGAATGCAAAGCTACGGCGCTATTGAGCAACCACTCACCTGCAAGTTCTCGGTCTGATTCTCCCAATCGATTTTCTCCGTTTTGAGAAGATCGATCTGGTCCAGGGATTCCTGTAGACCCTGAGTCAGCCGGTGGATGCGTGTCTTGTGCGTATCCAGCTGTTGCTGCAGTTTCACTTGCTGTAACGTAGAGGCCAGCAGCAGACACGTGAAGGTCACTTAATTGTGGATAGTGTTTCCGCAATATACAATCTGTAGTTAGCTATACTGTGATAATGCTTTTTCAGATCGTTTTCAACTTCACGCGTCACAGCAGTGAGATTGTCAACGAGGGTGGTCCTGGAACCCTGTCGGTCAAGCAAAGTGGCAGGACTGTTGTGCGGCAGCAACGCAAACCTCTTCCATGAGCCTCAGCTTCAGTTCCCGCTCCGTCTCCAGCTTCTGCTGCAGGCCCTTGGAGCTGAGTTCCAGCATGGCATGCTTCTTCTCCAGGTTACTGAGCTGTGAGACAAGAGTACAGTTTTAACCATCCAACCCAACAGCCCATCATTAAGTATCCTGTTTAAAAGCATGTCACACAACTGCATTAAACACGACACCAGAATAACGTTCATTTTCTTGAATAAAATACAATCTCGAATCCAGGCTCCAGATTTGCCTCTTCTCCGCTGATTTCGATTCGCTGTCATCCATCTATGAACTGATTTCGATCGCACCTTACTTTAAAGCTATAAATGCCTCCCTTTAAACCTCATGATGTACATCTTCAACTTTTTGTATGGTATCTTGAGATGAAGTTGCATTTGCATAATATACAATTTAAATTTGTACCATACTGTTATTTGACATTTATTTCAATTCAGACTAAAGGAATATTTGGGTAGAGTGGTGGCGCAGTAGTTAGCGCACCATGCTATGAATCAAGCAACCTGAGATCTATACTCTTTGGTTCTTTCGGTAAAGTCACGTAGGTATAAAATAAAATAAATCACGACGTTTCGATCGCAACACAAGCGGTCGTCCTCAGGCGGAAAACATCTAAACCAGCAGTGGAACTGCTGAACCAGCGAGAGAGCAGCTACAAGCCCTCCAAAATTGATGCATTCCGGGCGAGCGGGAACTGTCCTGGTTCTGTTCTGCCCATTCACCAACTGGCACTGACCAGCGTGGTGAAGTATGGTCAAACGGCCCCCGATGATCGAAGGGGTGGGGAGGCCTTCATCCAGTAGTGGATTGACAAAGGGCTGTACATTACACTACATTAAGAAAATAATGGCAATTTATAAAATTATTACCATCTCTCCCAGATTGTCGGCCTTCAGTCGCTGTTCCTTGGCTATGTTCTGCAGAGCGAGGGACTCAGCCTTGTGCTCCCGGACCGCCAACTCAATGGCCTGCCGCAACTCCACACTCTTCTGTTCAACACGCATCCTTAAACACAAGGAGAAGACGGGCACATGATAGAACAATACATTTTAGAAGTAGAAATCAATACATATCAATATCTATGCAGTATTGTATTTTTTACAACCACAAACAAGGTTTCTCTTAGACCGAAGGCTCCGTATGCTCATACAAAGATAAAATTAATATCAAGCCCTCCCAAAATTGATGCATATCAACTGCCACACCAAGTGTTAGTAGCAATGAATAATAAACCATATGATAAGAGTTCGATTCCAGCCATGGCTATTATTATTAGCGAGTGATATCCTGGGTGCCTCCTTTACCAGGTGTTGCGGTTGCACCCGATTCAAGAGCCAAATGGCTCACAGGGCTAGACCAAATAAATGAAACTGAAATAAATGATAACTGAACCAAACCGCAATGTGGCGAATGGTCAAACAAGCGCCTGGAACAACACGGTATGCGACGGCCTTCATCTAGCAGTCGACCAAAACAGAACTGAAAATTATTATCTAATATTACGCTCCAGCATCGTCGACACGCGACAAAGCCGGAGCGTGTCCACGACCGCCGTATTAAGAAACACATCAAAGAGCCGTTGGAGATTTTACCATTATAACCATGAGCCCATTCGTACCGACGTGCACGAAAGAAAGTCGTGCGTTCTATACGTTACCCAGGAAGAATCGACAAAGCCGATAGCTTTGTTGGCCGGGTGGTGGCGGCGGTGGCGGTGAATCACCTGTTCTGCCGGTCGTTATCCTGCTGCCTCAGCAGCTCCCGCACGCGCTGCTCGCGCCGCTCACACTCCGTCTCCAGAGCGGAGCGGGAGCTCTCGCACGCGCGCTCTTTGGCGAGCAGATCGTCGTTCAAGCCCTCCAAGTCGGTGATCTGCTGCTCCAGCTCTGTGCACGTCGTCTTCAGCATGTTGAGAGTCTACGAAAGTGAAATCGCAGATAGAATGCAGCCGGCAAAAAAAAAATACATTTACATTACCTACCTCTTTAGAGCAGCGGGAATTTCTAAGCCAAGGTTCGTGGCACCGACACTAATCGTTTTAATGAGCACAGATAACGGAGGGCGTGAAGCGGTGGTGCACCCGCTTCACCCCTGCCTTACCAAGGCTCATTTAATCGAGAGGAGACCACCAAACATGCTTTACATCTCATACATTTATTGTGACTAGTCGGAGCGACTGATGCGAATTGTAATTAGTTTCCGATTAGCACGGGTTCACTACATACGGTGCGAAATTATTTAAACATAACGTACATACATACGTGTTAAAAAGAAAAAATGTGGCGCAAATGTCGTCAAGACTATGCTTCCCACAACAATAATGCAAAACCAATCGTTTCAAACAGGGATCCTCAAAGATTACAGCCTGGAGGCTTATTACTTTCACTCGTAGGGATGAGGTCGGCAAAGAGATTTCTTTCTCATTCAAAACACTTCATCCCCCATCATCAGTGAGCCAAGTAATTGACGGAAGCAAAGCCCCCAAGCACCAGTTGCTGGCCACGACACAACAATGAAGCATGTAACCACGCATTTGACGAGTGCAGGCGGCAGCAAATAGAGTGTTTATGGACTGAGGTCCCCTACCGCGTCCTGGTTCGAGAGACGTGCGTCACGCGCGGTCAGCTCGCGACGCAAGCCCTCCACCTCGCTCTGCGCACGACCCCGCTCCAGCGCGGCGCCAGACAGCTCCTCCAGCTGCTTGCCCAGGTAGAAGTTCTGCTTGTTCAGCTCCAAGTTCTCCTGGCTCAGCTCTCCCAGTTGTTCCTCCATCTCCGTGATCACCTGCGAGCGCACAATACGCTCGGCCACGTCAACGGAATACAAGAGGCTTCAAAGTTAAGCTTCCACGTGCGCTTTTCTGTAGTTGTATGTACAGTAAAGCCGCGTTATTTCGGTGTTTGATCATTCGTAATTGGAGACATCCGACTTGGTTTTGGCTCAACAAACTGAAGCCTTTACTGGCCATGAAGTATGAGTTTTATTAAAACCTCACAACAAAGTCACTCACCGAGCAGCTTTCTCGCAGGGTTTCAAACTTCTTCTGGATGTCATCTCTGCTTGCCTGTAAATGGTAAAGCAAAGTTGAAGCTTACACGGGGTGTCTAGAGGATACAATATTACACAGGTTTCAAAAATATTGAATAGACATATCTCACACTTAGCTCATCTAATGCAGATGAAAGTTTCATTATTGAATTACCGTGCCAGAGGTTGTAACAAAACTTAATTTTAACAGAATTCAATACAACCTCATATCCTTCGAGTTATTATTCCATAATGCAAACACAAATAGTGGGCATCCCACACAGAAACAGGAACAGGCAATGTATTTAATTGGTGGTTCATAAACAGCTCATCACATCAACCGTCACGTCAACATGGAAAATGACCGTAAATTGTGCTTAATCGAGATAATTTTTAGGATAAAAAAAATTCAGATTTTAAGTAAATATCAGAACTCTTTTGGATTCTTTACATTGTTAGATAATTGTGTCTTCGAGCCCACCAAAGTGACATCTCTCGAAGCTACGCGACACCCTATTTGACAGACAAACAGTGAAAACGATGTCGTAACAATGACGCCTGTTCCTTTTTCAAAATAATCCAAAACAATGATAATTCATTTTTTCGGATTGCCCAACATGTCATAAACAGTCCTGATTTTTTTTTGTAAGCTGGAAACCGGGAGCACATCCCAAGCGCATTCTGTCGAGACTGGCCGCCCACTGCCCCTAGCGGCGATGGGACACACCTTGAGCGAGGCGATCTCCTCCTCTGCTTCGGCCGTCGTCTCGTCCAGCTCGGTCTGCACGCGGCGCAGCTTGACCTCGAGAGCGAAGCAGCTGGCGCGCGCAGCTTGCAGCTCGGCCTCCCGCTCCTGCAGCTGCAGAGCCACCTCGCCCACCTCCCGCTGCCCGTCCAGCTTCCGCTGCTCTGCCGCAAATGCAGCCTGAACCGCGGCGCGAGTCATCGGTCCGCCAGCATGCGACCGATTAGTATGGTTGGCTACGTACCGTGTGAAAGTTGTTCAACATGCATACATGCAACTTTGCCATCGTACCAATCACCACCACCAGACACTTTCTGACAAATGCATATGCTGTACTGTGCGTAGAAATAGCCTATGACCAAATCTTTGTTTTTTTACCAGGTAAGACCCATTGAGCTGTATAGCTCTTTTTCAGAGGCAACCTGGCCACAAATTATAGCTCAAAGTGGCTGATCACGTGGAAATGTATAGCAGCCAAACACACTAAACGCATGTTTATAAATGTGGAGGGATACAACGGAGGGCCCGGAGAAAAATCCACACGACCACGGAAAGAACATGCCAACTCCAAATATAAAGGCGTCATGGTCGGGATCGAACCCACGACCTCCTGTACACCAGGCGAGGTAGTTATCATCTCGCAATTGGGAGGCACCCCATCTCGCTAGATCTCGGAGGCTAAGCAAGATTTGAGTGTGAATAGTGCTTGAATTTGTGATCGCCACGCATGCTCAGTTGTCATAAGTGGTTGTGGGGCAGTGTGGTGGTCAGAAGTAGGCAGTGCAACAAGGTAAAATGTTGTACTTTGCATTCATGAATGTACGATGCTAACCTTTGGTGTATAGTTTGTTTCTAAAAATACAGATTCTTAAATACGTTTAAGTTTTTTTTTACCGAAAACCCTTTCTTGGGTTTGTAAGTTTTGGTACAACGTATCATTGCAGTTAAATGTAAGAATTGAGTGATTGAATATGCCATGAATTCGTCATAATTGGTTTCAGTGCATTAGTATTGTGCAATATGTATTGTGATTGCTCAGGACTTCGTGGTACTGTTCTCTTTACCCACAAAAAGGAAATGTTTACACAAACGGTCTCAAACATTGGAGGGTAAAACCAAAGCAAAATCTTGTCTGGAAGCGCTGTGAAAATGTATCCATTCAATACCATTCAAAGACCTCTTAGGCAGGATTACGAGTGTGGCAAGTGAGCCCTCCGATGTGTCTGCGGCTTGTGCAGCACGCGAAGTTCCGCACGACTTATGACCTTTTTCTAGGGGTCGGCACGGCTTGGCTCAAACCACCAAACCGCGGTTTGAACCGAACCAAATCGGTTTGGTTTGGCTCTTTTTGAACTGGTTCGGTTTGGTTTGGTGCTACGAAAACCGACTCGGTTTGGCTCGGACAGGGTGGAACCGGCTCAAACTAGTTTGGTTGGTTGTAAAGGCGACACGAAAGGACATGCTGTAGTTGCCTTTGCCTGCGAATTCACTTTGCAATTGCATCTCCATGGCTCGAGCGGCTCAAGACGGCGCCATCCCCGGCGGCTCCAGCATCACAAGGTATCTCATCCACGACGTGGAAGAGACCAAACACGCCGGTAGCGACGAGGAGCCGATGGCGAGCGAACGTGAGAGCCCGGACGCCACGCGCGGCGACACGCGGCAGAGCCTCATGCGCACCCTCGGCGCCGCAGCGCTGCAGACCGCGACGCAGCCCAAGCCCAAGAAGGCCCGTGTGTCCCGAGCGCTGTGGCACGACGAGTACTTTGAGACGAGCCAGGCCGCGGGCGACGTGCAGAGCCGGACCTGCAAGATCTGCACCCTCCAGTACGCGGGCTCCACCTCCTCGGGCACCCGTATCAAGCATCTCAAGACCCATGGGATCGTCGACCCCGAGTCGCCCACGGTCGTCACGTCGCCGCCGACGGGGAAGGGTTTGCTCGTGCAGTCCAAGATGGCCACGCCCATGTCAGCGCACGCGAGCAAGGCCATGGACAGCTTTGTCGCCGAGTACATCGCGACGAGTGGTCTAGGCCATAAACACGTAACATCGGATCCCTTTACGACTCTTCTTCAACGAGCTGCCCCAGGTTACGAGCCCAAGTCTGAGCGCACGGTCAAGCGCCGCATGCTCGAGATGTATGTCGTCCTCAAGCTACTCGTGCTACAGTACTTTACTACTTTTGGCTCTTGCGTCTCCTTGACCTACGACGGTTGGACAAACGACGCCATGACCGGCTTCTTCTCGGTCACCCTCCACTGGATGGACCCGGCGTCGTTCTCCATGTGCAACTGCATCATTCACTTCTTTTGGGTGGCCCCGGGCGAAGGCGTGGGCAAGCGCATGGCGCAGCGCCTGCACGAGCTGCTCGACGACTTTGGCGTGTGGCCGCGCCTGCTCGCCGTCGTCACCGACAGCGGTTCTGACGCCGTCGCATCCGCCAAGTCCCTCACGCTCCTCGAGGGGAGCAACCTGCGCTCGACGTGCTGCTTGCGGTGCATCGCGCACTGCGTCAACCTCGGCGTCAAGGCCTCATTCGGCGCGTTCGAGACACTGCTGCGCAGCCTCCGCGCGACGCTCGGCGCTATCCGCAAGAGCAAGACGAAGAGGGCGGCCTACACGTCGCTCGCGCGACACTACCTCAAGTGCCCGCTGCAGCCGCCTTGCCTCGACGTGGTCACACGTTGGGGTAGCACGTACGTGATGCTCACGGCGTCGCTAAGGCAGCGCCAAGTGATCGACGCCATCTGCCTTGAGCCCGGCTGGTCGCGGAGCCAGGCCGGCTTGTCGGACGAGCAGTGGGAGCAGGCGGCGCTGCTCTGCCAGTTCTTGGAGAAGCCGGCGGCCATCTCCGATGCCATGGGCGCCGAGGAGTACTGCACCATCTCGAACGCCATCACGGCGCAGGAGGCTCTCGAGCCACTGCATGACCCACCGCCCGAGTCCTCATGTGGTCGTGAGCTCGGCCGCCGTGACCATCTCCGACTACATGGTCAAGTACAGCGACCTTCTCTCGTCCGAACCAAGCCGCGTCGCCCGCTTTCTCGACCTGCGCCACCCCAAGCCCGCGGCCTCGAGCACCGAGTACAGCAATATCAAGGACATGATGACGGACATTCTCAACCAGCGCTACCCAGCGTTGACGACGGACGCGGCGCCGAAGGCGGCGCCGCGTGGCGGCATTAACATCCTCTTTGACATGGTCTACGCGCCCAACGCTCACGACGGCGCCGCCTCCGAGGTCGACCGCTTCCTGCTTGAGCCGACTCAGGACCTGAGCATGGACGTCGTCGAGTGGTGGAAGCTGTACGGCGGCAAGTACCCGCGCCTACGACGCGTGGCCCTCGACTATTTGCCTATCCCGGCGTCGTCCGTGCCCTCTGAGAGAGCAAACTCGGCCGCCAAGCGCTCCTTTCTCGACCGACCAAACCTGCACAAGTGCACGTTCAAGGCCGAGATGTGTGTGCGCTCGTGGGCGCGGATGTTGCCTAGTGTTGGGGTTTCACTGCCATTGAACTACCACACAGCGTTCAAGGACATTGGGCGTGCCAAGCTTGAGGAGATGGCTGTGGACGACATCGTCGTCCAGTACTTGCTAGTGAATCTCAATATGAAGAAAGCCTGCGTAGAAATTAGCGATTAATACACTTGATATTTGTATTGAATGCGAATATTGTTTGCCGCGCATCTTTTCGGTTCAAGCCAACTCAAGAGGTTTGGTTTAGCTTAGTTTGGTTTGGTTTGGTTCAGTCGTCGCTGGTTTGGTTTGCTCAATTTGAAACCAGTTTGAGTCGGTTCAAACCGTGCCGACCCCTACCTTTTTCGCTCCACGTGCCGAGCTGCTTTTAGTTCCTTCTCTCAGCGTCTGAACAAGTTTCCAGCACGTACAGCGAGATTTGTCAAACCTCTGAAACGCGCGGGAAAGCACGATAGGGAACTGTCGGGAGCTACGTAGTCGTAGCATATAGCCAGCTGTTACCTCACGGAGCCTGCCCTCGAGTTCCGCCACCCTTGTGCGAGCGACGCTACTGGCCTCCTGGCTTTGCTGGAGTCTCTCTTCTGCCGCACGCGCCTGCACCACAAAGCACGGATTGTGTACAATAATTAATAGAATGGGGGGGGGGGGGGGTGCAAACAAGATCGAATGGTAAAAAAAAAAAAATCTATCCACAGCATACCAAACTAAATGCACTTAATATGCCTTCGCTAATTCTAGATTTGAAGTTTTCGTGACTGCAAGGATTCATACTCTTTGGTTTTTTCGGTAAAGTCACGTAGGTAAAAATTTAATAAATAAAATAGAATGAAAACAACTCAAATTAAATTAAATAAAATCACTGATTTGATTTAATTTGATTAAATTTCATTTTAGTTGTTTTCATTCTATTTTATTTATTTAATGCCTTCGCTATTTGGTTCAAACAACAGTGAGACAGTGCAATTGTCTGCTGGCCTGAGCCAGTGCTGCACATTTCACATTTCTATAGGGAGGGGCTTACACAGCTCCACGTCTGTGCTGTGCACAGGGTTTCCAAATGACATAATGAGCTGCTTCAAATGAACGAATCCTGTGGCACTAAAAAAATTATTATCATTTAACCCCAACACAAATAAGAATAAAAGAACACCAAAGGAACATTAAATTCTCACAAACACAGCTGTCAGGGGTGGCAGAGCATGCTTGCCAACAAAGACATTCAATTGCTTTTAATACCGTTGAAGTGTTATGCAGAACTAATTATCACTGGCCAAGATTAGTTAGAAAATCAATTGAAATTGAGAAGAATTCAAATAATTGTAATCGCTGTCATAACTATAGACTCAGCGCAACCTGGAAGCGTATTATTAAGTAATACACAACACATTGCAATTCCTTACAGGTGAGTCGCATGCAAAGTGGCTGATTATTGATCTATTACATAATTCCATACACCCCCACCTCTGATCTCGAATCCTGATGGGGTTCAACAATGATGACGTCATCCTGCACTATTTAAGACCGGAAGCAGGTGGATGGTTTCACTATTCTGGCAAATCGCCCCAAAATGTAGGATGGAATTTCCAGCGAAACGTCGTACTCAAATTCTAAATGTTGTGGATCCACTCTTCAACACACCGGTGGGCTAAAGTAGTCAACTTTTTGTCTTTAGTCAAAGTGACACATTTTTTACTGATTGACCGTGTGAGGTGGTGGATGGTTGCGACAAATTTTATAAACAATGCGATCTAACCAAAAAACCTTTATTATGGACAAATAAATAGTATGGCTGGAAGCCTGAAAGCTCATCAACTCAACTAGATTACCGGTGACAATTTTAGAAATGATCTTTACTTTAAAAGCCAAACAAAGTTAGCTGCATAAGGACATATTGTTTCTGATTAATAGAATATTGCTCAATTGGGTGGTCTAAAATTTACCAATGCATGTATGTTGAAGTTCTTCTGCACCGTACGTAGCCAACCATGCTAATTGGAGGTCCAGGAAATTATTGTAGCAGAGTAAAACAAATTAAACTTGCCATTTCATTTTATAAAATGACACCTTAGTTTCAACAAACCTGTGCTTCAGCCTTGCCCAGCTGTGTCTCCAGGTAAAACTTCTGTTGCCGCAGCTCACCGATCATCTCCTCCTGCGCTTTTCTGCATTCTCACACAAAAAAGTGCAATTACAAACAAATAAAAACATTTGCAGGGTAGCATTTTCAAATATTCATCATTGGTTTTCAAGAGCAGTTAAGCTGTCGGCAAAAGAAATAACGTGCGAAAAAATAAGAATAGGTTTTACGCTTTTCTGGCAATGAAACAGGTGTTAAAATGTTCAAACACCAAATAGAAACCTTTTGCAAGGAACCAAGTCTGCATTTACCACACGTACTTGCGGTGAACATGCAAACAAACATGCTCTGACAATATATGCATTGTCTTTGAAACTGATTGGCCTACACCAGAGACAGCGTTCTTTATGGCCAAGTCTCACCAGTGTATGTGTGACAATGCACTTTCAGAAATAACCCAACTCATTGCTGGATATTACCATAGCTGGATTGAAAGGCTGAAAATAACACTAAGCTGGAAAAGTGTTGTGACTGGTGTCTTGGCACATAACACCCTACCACTCACTATTAGAATGTCCCAACTTTACGTATAAAGTTACCAAGTGCTAATTGCACTTCACATAACTATATATCATTCCGCAAATGTTACGCAACATCCCATGTTAAAAAGATGCAACTTTTCTTCCGAAGAAATTAAATAGTGCATATTACTGAGCCATTGCAGTCAATGATGGCCTGCCTTTAATCGTTAATACAGGTTAGGAGGCCCGGCCCCCACACTCCTGTCTCACCTGGGCCACCCAGCCAACAGAGCCCAGCCAGACATCTAAGCAAGAAAAGGCACCTGTTCGGCCCATTCATGAAAAATAAATCGACACATTTGAGGTGTGAAAATGTGTTAAATTAACGAAAGGCAAATTCCTTAAATTGAGTGATGTTAAATTGTAAGATATTTTAATTCAGTTTCATTTTTAAAAAGATTGGCACACATACAATAGAAGTCAGAAATGTTTGCGCTGTGAGGAGAGCATTACGTTGCCACGACCAAGCGATTCCATCCATTAAGAGCATTTGTTGCTCGTGCAACAACAATTTTTAAACTGGAATTAAACAAATTTATCAAGAGTTGCAGAGCTACGTGCAACTTTATTTGCCCAGAAGTGCAGCAATACGCGCCAACCAGCGTGACGTTTGTTCAATATAAGCCTCATGACCCGCACAGTGTGCGGAGGTACTCATCCAACAGTGGACTGACAAAAGGGGCAATGCACGTACACGTGTGCATCTAAGACACATCAGCTGGCACGTACATGCTCCTCTGCGTGTACATGCTGCTGTTAGCCACCATCTTGTTGGCCTCGCTCAGCTCTGTGATGTGCTGCTCCAGTGCGCGGATCCTTGACTCCATGGCTTTGATCGTCTGATTGGAAAGAAAAGCAAAGTAGACCACACGTGAAGAGGAAGCTCTCAGCCTTTTGAGGAAAGTTTCAGACCTCAAGCCAAACAACATGCGGAACAACCCAAAAACACATTTGATAGCTGCACAGGACAACCGCAAAAAACCTACGCACGAGTAAAAAAACATCGTCGCCATCACGGAAACCACCGACCACTTGGCAAAAACTGAAACGCGGTAGTATTTCTGTTCAGCGAGCAGCTCCCATCATCCAGCAACCAAAAAACATTCAGGAATGGGCACACAGGTAATATTACGACTACAGCGGAATTTGATCACCACACTATTAACAGTGCCACTTTTCCTTACAGGTGACATTTACGCAAACTACAGTAGGAAATTACTTCTATCGATCGGTCCTGCAGCAGATGTTAAGGGAGGATGAGGATCACATTGCAAACTCTAGATCGAAATCTTCTCAAAACTATGTAACATAGCCATGCTTTTAGAAAATGTTTGCACTTGGCAGAAGAACAAACAGTTTGGTATTGATTTAATGGGAAAAAAAGACAAATTCAGCATTGGCTTACACTGTTGCACACTATGAAAGATAAAACTAATGGCAACAAATATACACACACGTGAAATACAATTAATCACGTGAATGATACACAAGACAAGAGAGTTGAGTTGTGATGTTCACAGTGCACCAACCGCTTTCTGGTCCTCCAAGACTTTGGTCTTCTCCACTGCGTCCTCTTCGTGTTTTGTTCGACTCTGCTCCAAGACTTCTTTGTCTGCAAAGTCTAATTTAATTTGTGTATCCATAACCTGCCACCAAAATATGCAAGCACGATGTCAGAATGCACGTACAATGTAACTTGTTTCATGGCCATTGAACTATGTTTAAGTTAAATTTCGATTCAAAGCTTTTGTGACTGCAGGGATTCATATTCTTGGTTCTTTCGGTAAAGTCACATAGAAGGGAAATAATAAATTTTTCTTGCTGTGGTTTTCACACCTGATGATGATTGCTTGTGTTGCAATCGAAACGTCGTGATAATTTAATAGTTTTATTTTTATTATTTCCCTTCTACGCGACCTTACCGAAAGAACCAAGAATATTGTTTGAAGTTGTTTATTGCCCCAGTCCTCAATGGGCTTATGTAGTCAGCAACCAAGCACAGCATCTTCTCTTGAAGGTTTCCACTAAATTGATAGTTCGGTTTGCAGATACTGGACAGCTGCACCTTCAACCTGGACTGTATTTGTAATCAAGGTGTACACATTGAACAACCAACAACAGTTTTAAGTAGATTTTTCAGAAATAAAATAGACGGAGCAGCCTTGCAATAACTTTCTCACGCTACTGTTGGCGAAAGTGACGAGAAGCCCCTCTAGAGGGTATTGTGGCATATTCTTGCACTTCCGATTAGCACAATTGGCAATGTACGGTGGAAAATAAGTTAAACACATGTACACACATAGGTGTCTTGGAAGAGGAGTACCCAGACTTTACCCCACCACAAGCAACCTGCTGGCCGACTGTGGTGTCCCCATTTATCCTGCCGGGTGGACAGAGGCCGGAGGATGTGAACACTTGCCGATGCTTTAAACTGCCACGCCGGGACATCAAACCGGCAACCTTTGGATTGTAAATCCAGTGTGCGGCGAACCATTACTCTAAGGTAGCATCGATTTTTCAGACTCTGCCCAACAATCTATGCAGTCATTAAACGATTGGGGACATCTTAATGCTAAAGAACAAGACACAATAAGGATCCTCACCCGAATCTTTTCTTCGTACATCTGCACCTTTTGTTTGACGTGGACCTCCAGCCGCCGACAGCTGATTTCTGACTCTCGACACTGCTCCTCCAATTCCTGGAAAGTACAGCAGTCTCAGATGGTATGCCAGACCAACATCGCAAGCGTTGTACCACGGTGGAATTATTAATCCAGCGAAGATGCCATGTGCGTCTTTATCATACGTGGGGGGCACTCAAAAGAGCACATTTGCCGACTGCGCTTAATCCTACGGCACTGCTGGAACAATATATTGAGACGCATATTAAAGCACTTAATAATGTCTCGACCTTAATCTTCTCTGCCATTTGTTGTGTCTGTTGGGACTTGGTATGTAGATCTTCTTTCAGCTTGCTCTCTCTTCTCTCGATCACTGCCAGCCTCTTCAGCTGACCTTCCAGAGTTCTGCACCGTTCCTTGAAATGCAATGTGGCAAAGGATGACAACCAACAACGCTTCGTGGCTAGAAATACAATATTTGCTTTAACCAAAATTTATGAAAGGAAACTTTGTTTCAAAATAAAACTGTGTTTCATACCGAGCTCGACAGCCATGAAAGCAGAAACAACATCAACTTACTCTGGACTTATAAAGCGATGATTCACAGTATCTAATTTCGACACCGAGAAGCAGCTCTTTCCATCACCTGCGCTCAACCTAACGCGACATACTTCACCGACAGGCCACGTTCCCCCTATCATTGGTAATCACGGACATTACGCAGCGCGTGAGGTCACGAGACTCTGAACGACAGACTGACGAGGAGGACGCGAAACGACACCGTACCTCGCTCTCCTCGAGCCGTCGCCGCATGTTTTCTCTGTTGCCGTGCTTCTCGCGCGCCAGCTCCACGTCCCTCTCCAGCTGGTCCTTGGCGCGCCGCACGTTCTGCAGGAGCTCCGTCGCCTCGGCGCTGGCTAGCACCGCCTGCGGCGCGCCACCAGACACAGCCGTCAATTACAAAACCAGTTTAACACGTAGTAGGCTTTCGCGATCAATATCGTCCATAATACAGGTTTTTTGGGGGGTTAGATTGCGTGAATATATAAATGTGTCGTTAAACCCGCCACCACCCGACACAGCCAATTAGTAAGGTTTGTCACGTTAACAGAACATGCCAATTCGTTACTAGTACAGCACACCGCTGTGTTGGAGAGCAACAGCAAGATTGTATTATAAAACGCCCACTACTACTGCTGCTAACCAAAGCAGAAAATATCCAGCCACCGCTGTCATGTCTGGGGTGGATTGCTTCTCTTCCAATTGCATAGTGTACAGAATTCATCTTAAAGCGATCAAGTTTATTGATAATTCAGCACTCGCTTCTTCAACCGTAGTCACTCGCTCACCTGTGGTTAGTCACCTTCTTTATCGCTACTATCATGGCTATTGTTCTCATTAACGTCACTCGCTGTTCCGTTTCGCCCACAAGGTGTGCAATCGACATAATGGAGGTCAAAACACATCCCGTTCTGCTTCTTCCCTCGTGCAGCTTGACTGGCATTAAGATTCTGATCGTCTCTTTTCAAAAGTTTTTACAACCTTGCTCAATTCAAGAAACGTGTGAACTCTCGTCGAGTACACCTTCACAAGTCCCGCTCGTTGCTGGTCCATTGGCATCATCACAGAGCCGTGGCCACAGCCGACCCAGTTCTCAACGCGTTTCACGGCATTTTGGAAGTGCTTACTAAAATTGGAATCTCTGGGAAAAACGATCTCAATTCTCCGATTTTCTTGCCAATTTGAAAAAAAGCAGGAGATGATTTAGTTTTTTTAAATAAAGGCAAGGGGAAAGAACAGCATCATAATTGGAACCAACCTTAGTGAGCTTATCTTGAAGTTCATTTATTTTCCTATGGCTCTCAGAGTTTATCTAAAAATTAAGAAGAAAAACAGGCACGTTAATAACATTATATGCATAAACTGAAATTAATTCACAATAAAAAAATTATTATAATTATAATGACAGCAAATGATAGAACCATGGGAAACCAGCCACACCTTTCCCATTTCACTTTGAAGAGCAGCAACCTCGGTCTTATTCTGCTCTCTGGTCTGTCAAACAAAACAAATAGAATTACCGCTTTTCAAAATATCAACATTGGTAGAATACGTTGCACTGTATTCATGGAAACACATTACTCTTACAAACATAGTTTTGCACAATGCGTGAGCACATTCTTACACGCACCGACACAATTTGCCAGCGCCGTATTGCTATTCTATAACGACGGCAACAACAATGTAACAATTAGTGCCCGTGGAAATAATTTTAGCTCGAGAGAGAGAGAGAAATAAACTAATTATTTAACTATACACTGTATACGTCGACAAGGAATTTGAAGCAACTTGCAAAACTTCTTTACGGTGACATTTGGCCAACACTTCAAACTAATTTAAAGTAATTTTTGTCTTCAAGCCGCCTCCACCGCACTCAGGCGTGCGCACGCGCTCGCATTTCGCTTTTGTCTTCGAGCACCGACCTTGCTGAGTCTGTCTTGATAGTCGACGAGTTTGCGGCGGTAATCGTCAGCGGCCGTCCGGGCCTTTCTCAGCTCCGTGTCGCCGAGGCCGGCGTGCCGGTGCGCCACGCACAGCTCCTCCTGAAGCTGCTTCACCACGAGACGCAGCTCCTCCAGCTGGGAGTTGAACTCCTGCTCCGCCGGCCACAACGCGCAGAGCAGCCCTCAGGTGAAGGCACCGCGCATCACTTCCTGGTCTATGACCCAACTCGTCCGGATTGCGCGTCCGATCTCAAAAACCAAGCATGTTTGAGGCTGGACAGTGCACGGATAGGTGACTGCCATGCATCAGACATGGTCTGTTGAGGCTACGTTGTTAGAGGAAAGTGCAGCAAAATATGCTGTTCTGTAATATGCTCCCCCTCCCCTATATCCCATGCCTTAACCAACCTGCACTCTCCAGCATGGTGAAGTATGGTCAAATAACTCCAATAACTCCTATGACCCACACGATAAGGGGATGCCCTCATCCGGTAGTGGAATGACAAAAGGTCTGAACATACAGAATAAAAACATTTATTTATACTGGAGGATCCGATGAGCTATAAAGCTCTTCTTCACAGATGTCCAGTCGGGGCACGGGGTAAGAACGTTCCAACAAACAATACAAAACACGACAAGGAGTGCAGAGTACAAGAAAGGAAAACAAATTACCAAAACACATACAAATGAAAGTAAACGACCCTCATCCTTCCAGACAAAGCCCACTGAGGTATGAATTTATTTCTCAAAAGCGACCTGGCCACAAATGACAGCTCAACAAAAGTGGCTTATAATTTGGACATACTGTACATACATCACCAACTTGACATTCACAATTAAGATCAGAAGATTTACCTTTTAGCATACCACACAAGACTCGTTTACTCACCCTTTATTCAAGTTATTTTCCTGCACAGCTTAATGTCATCCACCGCTCAGGTGTACGGGATTTAAAAGAGGACTTTCACAACACTCACCTGCTCGCGGATTTCCTGAAGCTGGATGTTCTGCTCGCGGATCTCCTGCAGCAGCTGCAAAGCTTTATCATCCTCTTGTGACACCTGCAGCTGTGCTTGCTCCAGCCCACGCTTTAGGCTCTGCAACGACGATACCACGGTGTCAAATTCGCCGCTAGGACCTAAACATTCATTCTGAGATCTCTATGTTGTAGCGTGACGATGACCATGCACGCTCAATTCGAACTAACAGCGCTCATCTTTGGCGTTACATTTGTTTGAACGCAATTTTCGCAGCGGCTTTTTGGGCTGACCATCGAATAAAGAGGGTCACTGCATCGCACGCTTTTAGATGCGCTTCTGCAGCCGTCTGGAAAGCTCTTCTTTCCGATATTAGCAAGCCACTAGAGCTATGCACTTTTAAATCTAGATTGAAAACCAAATTTCTTTAGAACTGCTTTTTGTGTTTAGTTTGTCCTTCCCCCACACCTCTGATTAGCATGGTTGGCTACGTACAGTGCGAAAGAAGTTCAACATAGATACATACGAGTGATATATAAAAAACATTTCTGCTTGGTTTAGAATTAAAACCACGACGGGTTCCGTGCGAAAGAATGAACAAAGTGGGACCTACGCTGCACTCGGTGATGTACATGGCAAGGTCTCTTTCGAGTGTTCCCCTGTGGACCTCAATAGCCTTTAGCTCCTTGTCCCTGTGACGTAGATCAGACTGCAGTTCAAGGACTCTCCTCTGCTGGCCCTCCAACTCCCTCTCCATCTAAACGCAAGAACACAGCGGCAACAAGACAACAGAAGGCACTATAGCAGAAAGCGGAAACACACGACAGATTTCAGTGATGTACAGTGTGTACAGGTAGTCCCCGACTTACGATGGCCCGACTTACGATATTTCGATCTTACGATGGCGATATCGATGACAAAATTGTAAAATATTTTACATTTCGCGCGGCAGGCAAACGAAGCAGCGTACGAGGTACGATACTGTACGTTTGGACGCTGCCGGGATGTACTGTACGCATCTCCCGCCTTGTGTGATGCTTCACTCTCACCAGCGGTCGACGGAGTTAAGTTGTCACGGTGTTAGCGCGTGTATTTTTTTGTTTTTTGTGTTTCAAAGCCCAATTTTTGTGAAAAAAGCATGTATTGTAATTAATAAATACATACAGTATATAGTTTATACAGTACGGTACTGTAAATTGCTCTGTTTTGCTAAATCATCACCATTCTTTAAGACTCCTGGATAGGCTCGGCCATTTTCGACTTACGATATTTTAAACTTACGATGGGGTCGTCGTAACGCATCTCCATCGTAAGTCGGGGACTACCTGTATATGTATATATCCTCCAAAGCCACCAAAAACTGGCCACTGATTCTTTCAAAGAGGTTAACGAATAATGAAAGATGTGCCGTGGAAGAAGAAATGTCAGTCTCTTTGAAGCATCATTATTTGCCCAACAATATAAGCACCGTCACATCACTAACAGAATGCTGATTATGATTTATTCAGCTCAAAATGAAACAAATATTTAGTTGGTATCATACTGTTTACTATGACGACATCGCCCGGAATGCATCCAATCTCATCAGATCTCAGAAGCTAAGCAAAGTTGAGCCTGGACAGTGCTGGAATGGGTTACCACCATGCAGACCAATTTGTCAAAGGTAGCTGTGGGGCTATGTGATGGTCAGCAGAGGGCAGTGGAGAACATCCATTGTTATACTGGAATTCTCGGCTAGGATTCCAAACTTCAAACACCCACACTGACCAGCGTCGTGAAGTGTTGCCAAATAGCCACGACGCCTCAAACGGCTTAGGGAGGCCCCCATTTAGCAGTGGACACAGTTGCAGTTTGAAGTTGCATTGCACCAGTATGTTGGTCACTTCCTGTGTTGAATTTTCTGAGAACAAATACAGTATATCTCTGACATTCTATGAGAATCATTTCAATTTCACTTCCAATTTCTCCATTTGGGTTTTTCCATGTCCATTTTTATGCACATAACAAGCATTGTTTTGCTTTTTTATCTGTTGACATTAATCCCCGAGACTACATTGTGAAACAGATGAATTTGAAGCAATGCAACTCAACCCACTTGCTAAATACTGCGTATCATCGGCCATGCTCACAATCCACTGCAGAATGAAGGCCTTCCAAAACCACCTCATAGCTCTCAGGAAATATATATTATTGCAGACAGCCATCCACATTTCCTACTCTCACAGGTGAGCACACTTTATTAATGTTTTACAATATCGATTTCTATTATATTGCCCACAAGTTGTAATGTGTATCACAGATGCATTGTGTAGGTCTACCTTGTGACATTTATCCTGTGCATCCTGGAGTTCCTTGGCCTTGGTTTGTAGTTTTTTCTCAATGGAACTGTTTTTGGCTGGGGAATCCAAAACCGACATAACAGACCTGCGGGAGTCAAAGTACACAAGTGTGAACGTAAATGATCACCTGTCAATGACACCATGCCTGTGCCCAGTGAAATAATCAATAAAAATGTACATATGGGAAAAAAGGGGCATACATTTATAACCTGTATAAAGAGATGTTAAAATAATTAGATTATTCCTTTTATGAGTATTCAATATTCTATGGCACATCTCAATGATTTGCAATTCATGTTATCGTTTACATTGAATGGTGTGTTTCATAATTTTCTAAGCGAATGTTATAAGTAGTTATTTTATGTGAACTCTGTGCTAAAAAATACCACGATTTTAAAAATGCAATTCTTGAATCGAATCATGACCCGGAATCGTGACAATTTATTGGATTGCAAAGGAAACAGTCACATACCTAATGATCAAAATGACATTTAAATGTAGGGTACATGTGCCGCCCATAGTCAATCCACTCCTGGATGAGGACCTCTCCACACAGTGGGTTTCGTCGAGGCTAATTGACCGTACGTCACATCGCTTGGTGAAAGCAAGGAGCATAAACGTGAGATTACTGAAGCAGAGTACAACGGCTTTTACAGTGTGTTGCTGATTCTTTGTGTTTTTAGGCCTTTGAGCATGTCCTAAGCAACCATGAATATAAAAAAAAGAATCACAACCTGCACAACTGGCGGAGGCCCAAAAGACGATAACGAATCGTAAGCGATTCGGCAAAAGCCTGCTTACTCGGTGCGTGAAAGGCCAACCAGGGCCTTGCTGTAGGAGAAGCCGATGAAGGGCAGGTTGTTCCCGGAGAAGCCAGGCTGCCTCAGCTGGCGAGGCGTCGGTGGGGCAGCTGGGCGCTCCCTCTCCACCTCCTCAAAGTTCGAAGTGTCGTCATCACCTTGCAGAGGTGGCACGAAGGGAGGAGGCACTGCCAGATGGGGAAGGGAAGAGAGAAAATGGAGAAAAGCACCACACTGTTCAATCGCTGCGTGCATTTTCACGGTTGCGTTGTAATAGTTAATTCTAGATTTTAATTTGCTATGACGGTTCCACCTAAAGACGGAAGCTTGTGTTGCCTCCGAAACATCGTGATTTAATTTATTTTAATTTTTTACCTACGTGACTTTACCGAAAAAACCAAAGAGTTGTAACAGTTCCCCGTTGTGTTTTCGGGTCGCGCCGCGTGTGGCTTGCACGGAGTCCGAGCTTTTTCGGGAACCGAATTCAGTTTTGGGAGCTTAATCAGCAACTTTTTAAGAAGCCACCAGCACTTGGAGCGAAACGTCGGACAAGATGACGCACAACATACAGTACTATCTTCAAACACATCAGAGGTATCATTACCACATTTCAACCACTGTAAAGCATGTTAAGTACCATCTGTACTGCAAGCTTACATGTTAACAATTGGCTTCTGTGGCAATGCAGATGCGAGACATTGTAAATGTTGGTTTTATCTTACGCCGGCAACACAATGGTGCAAAATTGACAAGCGTTACATTCGTTAACACATCAAGGAAAACCATCCGAATATCGGGCTTGTATTCGACAAGAGACTGGCATTACGACAAATTAAATTGGCATGTTAGGTTCGTGGTTATTTTTGTTACAATATTAATATGCGATTTCCATCAACAAACGTTTTAAAAAGGACAAAGTTCGTGCTCCAAAAGACTTTTTACAATTTCATCCAGGTCACAGAAACTATGGTGACCACGGAAAAAAATGACAACCAATTTTACGGCACGCTAATTCTTTTGTTAACATTATTAACAAAACGATTCCACAATAATAGTAGTTCATTGCTAGGGAATGAAACTACTTTTTTCCCCATTGTGCTAAGCATGACTGCGATGGTATAACCAAAGGCATACATCATCATCATCCTTTTCTTTAATTCTATGCATGTGGCACCCAATAATACAGTACGGTATGAACATCAAATACAACTGTAATGTCAATACCCTGTATGTTAAAGGTGTGCAGCATACAATAAAGAGCCCATTTAAAGCCTATTCACATTGCATTCATATCACAAGTAAAACAACGTATGCACTGTAAGGAGCCACTGTACACAATATACAACATGATAAATAAAATGGAAAAGTAGATTGACACAAAACGTGTATCTGCAACATGGAATGTAATCTTACCCTTCCAGAATGTCTATACACGTCGGCAGTAAATGAAAAATGATTCGCCTTTGTAATGGCACTGTACATAAAAAGATATAATGTATTTAATCCATTCTTTCACAGTAGAAGGGAATTACGGTGCATTTAAATCAAGGATTTAAAAAAACACAATGTCATGATTAAAAAAAAAACATCACAAATCAACACACTAAAATAGCCATATTGTAAGCACAGCCGTAATATGCAATATGGACATACTGCAGATTTGATGCCTACAGCAAAGTGCACTGTATAGCAATACGTTAGCATGTTCATAACCCAGCACAGTGCCTAGTCACACAGGCTAGCAAGCAGGCAAAATCGGACACAAAGAACAGCTGATATCGCTGTCACCAAGCACACTCAACCAACAGTTCATACATTACCACTAGCCCGGTGCAAATACCAGCTGGAATGATGTCCTGAATGCAGCCTTGTGCAAATTACAAAGTAACGCAGACTTGTTTAGGCAAGAGGTTCAAAAAAAATTGCCTAATTTTTTGTCCTCTACTCACACGCAGCAAAAAGTACACCGCATCCCAAGAATGACACTGGCACAAAGTGGCGCACGCTCCGGTACCTGTGCATGAGCGCCGCACTCACTTGGCCTAGATAGAGCAGCCGAATAGAGCACTGTAGCTCCAGCACGGGGCTCAGACCGAGCGCACGCGGCATGGGAGCCAAAGCCTATTTCCCCATCACGAACGCGGCCACTCTGTGGGCGCACGCAGAGAGCCGAGCCAGGCTTAGCCACGCCATCAGTCAAACAGCATTCTTCCCATCGCGGTGAAGTGGACTGGGATATGCCTGCGTTGGCGACGATGGGAGAACGTCGCTGCTGCTGTCTGGGCTACTTCACCATGCGCTTCTCTCGGACTCCTCGTGCTTTGACATAACACAATCTGTCCATTAAGCCGTTTGATAAGACTCATTTGGTAAAGTGCCACGTCCCTTCTTGACCCACTTAAGCGGCATACATGGGCTTAGCGTCAAGTGACACTTACGGACATGTCCGAGTGAGGATCTTTTGCAATTATAATTTCTTTTTTACCGCGGCAAATACTACGGTTAAATATGCCAAGACAAAACAGTATCCTGATGACCTTTTAAAAAATTTAACTAGGTTAATTGAACAGGCCAATGCACAACCATAAAATTGCAACAAAGCAAGTTACAAATAACATTCCCCACTTTCTAACGAGCTGGGTAAGTGCTAATCACATCAATTATTCTCGAGTAGACCGGATGCATATAATTTCAACATGGGTAAATTATGCTGCCAGACATTTGAAAATAAGCACACTGTAGTGCTGACCTAGAACCCATCAAATTACTGCAAAATTACCATTATCCATGCATTGCTGCAATGTACTAAAATCAGCTGTTTTCATAAGGATGTTGAAGCCTTGTAATCGGTTATTAATGGCTTAGTTGCCACAACAGCAATTCGTTGCACTGTCAAACCTGGTTAGAGGCCGGCGTGTGTGTGCAGAGCTCCGGGGCAGCCAAGGCATGATCCGCTCAACGCATTCTCTCACTCAAATTCTGCCTTCACGAAATCGCTGCTGCTGCTGGCCTACTTTCCTCTAGCCTCTCAACAGGCCTGCAAAAGCATAGCATGCTAAGGGACTATCAAGGTTCCCATTATTTTTAAAAAAGCACACGCTCCAGCCACCAAAGGAAATTCCAAATCGTCAGCAGCGACGACGACCAGCCCAAAGAGCTCCGTTACCTTTAATTACTTGCCTACAGACCTAATCTTTGGTAACCTTGGCGACTGAGTTGACAACCGTCAGCTGTGATGGTGTTCGCCGGCCTGCGCCCCTCTGCCACATAAAGCATTCAACGCATGCCGGCTCGCCGCTGCCTCTAGGGGGACGTACACAACAAACACGATTCTCTGTCAGTATAAATCTTTTTTTTTTTAAAGCCCTCCCATATATGCACGTGCGTATATTACATCAGTGCACGTGTATTTACGTGCCTATACGTAGCTACTACATTGCATACATTTACTATGTATAGGAGATACTGTACGGTACAGTATACATCCGGTTGTACATTTAAAAAAAAATCCCATATCGATGCATGGGGCTGGGAGGGGGAGGAATTGGTGATGTACAAAAATATTGATTTTCTCTACCTGCTTTGTAATAAACAGTACAGCACTTCTAATTATATTATTTGCTCACTCAACTGCCTCCACTAGAGGGAGCTCTAGATGCCCTCTCTCGAGGGTATTTGGCCTACTCTTCCGTGCCAAATTTCTTGGTGGAGTTGTGAGTACCCACACTTGTCCCTACCGAAAGACAAATGTGCCACCACTGTGCATAGAATTGCATCGCCCGGCTTGCACGATTTCTCTTCGCACATCAACTCACCCAACTCACAGTGCCTCCCCCTTCACAATGCCTGCTTCACTCTGGGAATTGCACCTCCCTTAATGATGCGCAAATTGGTGAAACAATTAACGGCCTGTCCAAGAACACATTCACAATATATATAAAAAAGATAAATATAGAATTGTAAAAAGGTTAAGGTGCGGCCCTGCAATAACTTGCTCATGCTCCTCCTGACAGAAGCGTGTCCACTAGAGGAAGTCCAAGAGAGCCCCCTCTACATGGTATTTGGCCTACTCTTCCATGTTGTCCAGATGCCATTGAAGAGATGACAATACCCACACTTCACACGTGACTTGGAACCAAGTTGCAATGCATATATGTTGTATTAATTTACCAGGTTGATCTTGTGGATTTAATTTTGTTTTACATGTTAAGGTTCTTGCTGCTCCACGTTAAATTATCATCTCAAATGGGTTATTTTCCCCTGGCATCACTGTTATTGAATCACAAGTGTATGTATGTTGAGCTTATTTTGCACCGGATGTAACCAACCATACTAAACATAGGTGGGGGGAAAAAAACTAAACTAAAACACAAAAAGCTGTTCAAAATAAATTAGTTTTCAACCTATACAGTACTGGCCCAACAATGTTTAGATATTGTGATTGAATAATATAATGATTACACTGTGCAACACATTTTTTTTGTTCCTGGGTAGTAAGTGTTATTTCCTAATTGCTTATGCCTCAAAAGTACAGAAAATGGCTATTCCCACAAACTTTGCTTTTGTGACCAGGACAGTGATATTTTGAATTCGACCTATTTTCAATGAGAAAACAGGCGAATGTGTCTTTTCGTTCACATAAAGTCAGAAAAAAACAACACATGAATCAAAATACACATGTTTTATACTAAAGAAATACAAAAAATGACTACAAAAGATGTAGACACCCAACGCACACTACCACAGGCGGGACTGGCCACAGCGCACGAGTTCTCTGTGGGGAGGAACAACGTCAAGTGGGAGCCACTGGTGGACCCCCGGAAGGTGCTGATGCCACCACTGCACATCAAATTGGTCCTTATGAAACAATTTGTCAGAGCTGTAGATAAGGAGTCGGCAGCCTTCAAGTACCTTCAAGACTTCTTCCCTAAGCTGTCTGAAGTAAAGGTCAAAGCCGGTGTCTTCGTTGGACCACAGATAAAGAAGATCCTGGAGTGCAATGAATTCCCCAAGAAGCTCACTAGTAAGGAGAAAGTGGCTTGGAACAGCTTTTCCGCAGTGGTTCGTGGCTTCTTGGGCAATCACAAGGTCGAAAACTACGTGGAGCTGGTTGAGACTGGTGAAGACCTACGGCACAACGGGCTGTAGGATGTCCCTTGATAAATTCAAGAAGAACATGGGAGCATACTCGGAGGAGCAAGGCGAGCGCTTCTACCAGGATATACTGGACTTTGAACGCCGCTACCAAGGACAGTATAACGAGAACATGATGGGAGACGACATTTGGGGGCTGATTCGTGAAAGTGATTTTCAGTGTAATCGTAAATCTAAAAGAACTACTCACTTCTAAATCTTTTGTAGTAATTTTGTATTACTTTAGTATAAATATACATGTTCATTTTGATTCATATGTAGTTTTTTTCTGACATGTGAACGAAAAGACACAAATTCGCCCGTTTTCTCATTGAAAATAGATAACTTTCAAAATATCACTGTCCTGGTCACAAAAGAAAAGTTTGTGGGGAATAATAGCCATTTTCTACTTTTTAGGCATAAGCAATTACGAACACTTACTACCCAGGAACAAAAATTGTGTTACATAGTTTTATAAGTTATACTTGTCAGAACGGCTGCAAATTGGCATGAATTATTTAAAAGATATGTCCAAAAACAATGATTGCAAGAATATTTTTTTTTATTCTATCCTGTCATCTCAAAGTACTAATTTAATATGAAATAAGGAATTATAATGACCTCATAGATATCACTTGCTAACAGCAAGTGATATCTAGGCATTTGTTTTCTCGTTTATGGGGGTGGGTGCTGATAACCATAATATGTAAAAAAAAGTACAGCTCTTTGTTAATCCACTGCTGGATAAAACCTTCCCCATGACGTCAGTCATGGGGTGTGGGGGGGGGGATCATACCAAACAGATCAGTGTGGGTTTTTGATGGGGATACCAAGGATCAGTTGAGATGTCACTCACCACCAACGTCTATCCATGGTTGAGAATCAAACTCAGGTCTCCGGATTCATTGCATAGTGCCCCAACCACTGCACCACTGCTCAAGTCATATGTAAACGTAATAACATTACATTTTAACTCCTTCATGGGCTGACGACAAACGTTGCATAACATGATTACAAAAGCCATTAAATGGGTAAACAACCTATAATACGTCGGCCAAGTCATAAAATGGCACATCGATACAATTTGGAAAGACAAATGAAACTTTAAGGAGCGTGACATTTGAGAGACATGCCTAGATGATTGACTGTCTGCTATATATCATTTAAGATATTCTATGGTTCTTTCGGTAAAGTCGCGTAGATCGAAGAAAAAAATTATAACAATAAAATAATACAAATAAAGCGAATTAAAAAATAATTAAAATATCACGGCGTTTCGATCGCAACACAAGCGGTCGTCATCAGGAACAGGGAGGTTAGGAGAAAAGGGCTCCGACCGAAAGAACCACAGAATATGAATCCCTGCAGTCTGGAAAGTTTTAAGTCAAAATCATTTAGGATGTCGTGCAGGTCGGAAAGCAGAGGGAGGTAATAGCGGAAACTCGGTGGATGGGGGAGGGCACAGTCTGTGACTGCCGCCCGGAAACACAACTACAACGCTGTGCCCCGCTGCTTCTGCCAGGACCCATCATTACATTTGGTGGCTCCCGTGACCAAACGCAAGCACCGCGGTCAAACACGAGAAACCTACTCAATGGCAATTAACAAAACCCTACGTTTCTTTTTTTCTCAAAAATATTTATCAACCCAGGCAAATACTGAATAACTGCGTGTGTATATCGATGTGATGTTTTGACATATTGAGATGAAGTAGTGTTTAATTTGAATGTTTCAATTCAACAAAATATATATTTTAAAATATTTTCTTTTGAAACCTTTTTTTTATCTGCAACTCCAGTTTGTGCAGAATCCAGATGATGAAAGATTACATCCATCTAATTTAAGATGATTTTTTCTGTTACTATCTTACCTGTAACTGGAGTCTGTGTGTGGACCTGGTGCTTTGCAATTCACTGTGTTAACTGAACATCAGTGTTTCTTTATCATTTTGTATATTTGCATATAAAATTCGAGACTGAGAATGAACCTGGTGAAAAATGTTTAAAAGGTGCTGCATGCTTATTTAATAGTATTATCCGCAATCCTCCGTTGATAACCATATAGGGTTTAGCACATGCATGTGAGCAGGTGCTCATTTAAGGTTCAGTCAACCTCGGGGAGGCACAGAACAGATTCAGATACCACTTGCCACTGCTATCCATGACGAGCAATCAAACCCAGGTCAACAAGTTTTATAGCACAGTGTGTAACCCACACATACATTCGGCTCAACATATCATTGCATTAAAAAGGTATATAATTAAATTACCATGCATCTTAAATGTCACACGCAGTACACACATTAATCATGCATCATAAAGTTATTCATCCATTTAGGGATTTTTATGCTTGGACAGCCGATTTATTATTGCAATGTTAAAAATTAACATTCTGAACTGTCTGGGCTGAATGGAAATTTGCTGGCGAGCTATTATTTTAACTATGAACGGTGTTCAACTCTGTTGCAAAGCAGTGTTGCCAGTATTTATTTTTTCAACTTTAGTACTTTACATTATAAAAATACAGATACATTATAAAAAAATAGCATTACATAATATCTCAATCTGACAAAAGTAATGAAAATAGCTCACAGAATGAGGGCGACTGCACTTTAAAATTAAGAATGTTGGTTCATGACATTAAGAAGCTCTTAAAAGAGACAAAGCGGGTGGGTATACACTACCTCCCCAGTTCTGAACAATGGGTGTCTGTGTATGGGAGCTAACTGCTGCGACAGTGCAGCGGTTAGCACGCTGCACTACAAACCCAATTAAGCTAAAGTCAAAATTTCGATTTAAAGCTTTCGTGACTGCAGGGATTCTTCTTGGTTCTTTCGGTAAAGTCACGTAGACGTCCCTAAAAGTCCCTTCTACGTGATTTTACCGAAAGAACCAAGAAAAAGTTAAAATCCCGCTCATGGCCACCAACACCAGTGACGATTATCTTAACCATTTCTGGGCCTCCCCTAGGTCGATTCAAATGAATACCTGGTGAGGTGTGTAAACATCACCACTCGGAAGACAAAGGCGACAGGACGTGGTGCTGGCCACCCACCCCCTCATGTAACATGCTGGCCTTCATAGGTGCTCACCAACAGCACTTGTCTCAAGTCTATTCAAACTCTAGACGGGGTAACTTTGTCCTTGGGATATGCCATGCTGCTGGTGTTTCTCTCCCATCTCTAACGTCCCTAGCTCCTACCCATTTCTCATTTCACCTTTTTCGAAAAATGTTGTCCCGGACTGATGTAAATTGTCTCAATAAGCAGTTGAATTGAGATAATATGCACATTTAAGCTGGTAGGAAATTAAAATAATGGGTTCTCACACGCATATTATTGAATACATGGGAGTATCATGAGTACAATAATTGGTTTCAATTGACGAATCGATACATAATTACACCGCTAGGATTTACTACAAACAGTAAAACACCCCAGCGAGCTGGAAGCAAAGAGGAGATCCCTGGTCAGTCGGCTGTGAGGTCTGACTAGCTGCAAAACTCAATGATATCAATGTAAATAAACAACCCTCTTGTTACTGTACATGTATTACTGTGATGTATTATAATGTGTAGTATTTTATATACAGACCAAAAAAATAAACACATTCCTGCGGAGGGAGCTGGTAGGAACGTTGGGTTGCTCGGTCAATGGCCAGGGTCAACAGCGGCGTGGTGTATTTCGCAAATATGGCCGACTATGAGGGCGGGCACAAGCCGGCGTGAATAGGTTAAACGTTGAGTTTTATAAGGTCACCACGGGGTGACCAGCCCCACCCCTCCCACCCCCACCCAGCCCCTCCCCACCCTCCCCACCCAGCCCCTCCACACCCTCCCCTCTCCAGCCAGCCCCACTCCTCCCCACCCAGCCCCTCCCCACCCTCCCCACCTAGCAGCCAATCCTCTGAATGTACGTTTCTAAATGTGGAGGGGAGAACCCGGACCACGTGGAGACCATGCAAACTCCAAATATACAGGCGTCAGGGTCGGGATCGAACCCATAGTTAACATCAACATCTTACCCGTGTAATGCTCAATACACTTTACATATTTATACAGCGTGATGCGGTGAACGCAAAATCCGGCTAGCGGGGGTTTTACTGCACAGTATATTATCAGAATTCAAACTGGGAAAAAAAACATGATTAGCAGGAACCAAATAAAACATACGTACATATTACGAATGCAGTATCTCACCATACTAAGAACATTCATAGCCTACTTACTGTGCTGGATGTTATTCAAATCGATGCCAGCGAAGAACGGATGGCACAGCAGCTTGTCAGGTGTAAGGCGGTCCACACGGCCACACAGCAAGCCCTTCACCAGGTCCACAAACTCCACGCTCACCGCCGGCTCGGATGGAAAACGGACGAACTTCTGTACATGTCAAACACCGCAGCCCTGGATGAGTATGGCTCAATTTCGCCAACAATGCTTACAACCACAGTGCATTATCTTATTGCTGAGCAGTTATGTCATGTGACAAGGTAACTTCTGTTTGCAACTCTTGCAGAAGTGCACCACCGCATATTTTACGGTAGAGAACAACCTCTAAAAGGTTATATCTGAACTACATCTCAGATCTCAACTGCCTCTTATCGATACTGCTGTAGAGATGAAACCGAAAATGCTGTAATAAAAAATGCCGAATAATTGGTCAAATAAGTGAGCACTGAAAACCAAACTCAACATGATGGTTTTTGTGAGCGGTCGTGTGTTAATAGGCTGAGGATATCAGCTTGCTACACTTAAGAAGTTGTTTTTTAAACTCAATGTTGCCGACTGTCTTCTGAGACGGGGGATTAGCCCTGAGCAAACCAAGTCACTTCTGCATTCTGTACGTTAGATGTTCGACCAAGAATATTGCTTCGATAACACGTGTGTTATACTTCTAAAACCATGAAACTGAAGGAGAGTAAACACAATATAAAATGTTTTTCTCACCTGAAAGTTTTTGATGTTGCTGATGGTCTTGGTGGAAATGCCCTCAGCAAAGGGGGTCTTTCCATACACCATTTCATAAGCGATGACTCCCACTGACCACCAGTCGCACTCAGGCCCGTAGGAACCCTTCCCACTGACACTGCTCAGGACCTCTGGTGCTACGTAGTCCGGTGAGCCTTCCGGTAACTTTGAGCTCACCTGTTGAAATAAGCAGGAGCACAATGGTGAGTGCATCATTGGTGTGACCTGCAGGCTACTATAAATTTTTCACGTCGAAATGTAATCTCTTTGTTTATTTAACGAAACGTTTCTAATTGTAAATTAACGGAACAGTCACTGTATAATTAAAAAAACAATATGCAAGCATTAAAGCTACAATATAAAACATTAAAAATGTTATGAAGGAAAAAATATTTGTTTACAATTCTAAAGACATCCCTATTACTCGAGTTTTGCTATTGACCGAATGTTGCTAACACTTTCTTCAGACTCTTTACGATCGTTTTAATGTTCTCAGTACTTAACGGACTGGGTATACGTACCATTTTGTTTGCATTGAGCTTGGCAGCTGAGCCAAAGTCAGCCAACTTGATGTGTCCAGTACGGTCCACCAGAACGTTTTCAGGCTTCAAATCTCTGTAGACAGACGCACAAATTCAATTCGCTCACATAAAACTGCGTACTGATCCTTAGTCCTTCGTTAAATGTGTGTAAGCGCAAAACAATAATTCCATTACCACAAATAAATTGCAAGAGTGCAGCACCACGAATTGCATTAAAAAAAAACATTGCATTCCAAGCTAAGTAAACAACTGGGAATGAGCAAATATTTTAAATACCACTTTGTTAAATCATACATCGAACTAATTAAGTGACAATCAATGACATAACATTTAGGAATGTTACTAAAGAGGAACAATTCCTTTTTAGCATGATATAAATTATATAGACGCTTACAGTGCATTCAGCTCGAGTGGCTGTACGATTTTATTTCAAGATTAAAGATTGCAGGATCCACATAAAATACAGCAGGTTTCACCTGAGGTTCATTTCAAAAGACAAAGGTGGACACTAACAAGGATATTAAAAATAACAACTTACAACAATCGCTTTTTGGCTAAATAAAACACACACGCACAACTTTACTGGTCACGCGAGTGTACCGACGAACGCACGGGTGCATCGCTCGTCAGACACCTGTGTACGTATCCCATCTGATGCAGGCTCTGCGTGGCAAGAACCAGTTCGGCCAGGTAGAAGCGGACCATGCTCTCATCCAGTTGGTCCTCGTAGCGGCCCAGCAAACCGAGGAGGTCCCCACCTGGGTGATACTCCATCACCTGCAGCCAAGGAGTTGGAAGGAAGAGATCCTTAGAAGGACCTCCTAATTAACCACTCCCACATCCAGTGCAATATTTGTGTCTGGTGTGACTGTCATTATCTACAGAGCTATTCACAAACCCTGACTATTTCGCATATGCTCCAATAACTCAGTCCCCTCCAGCGAATCGGACATGTGCCGTTGTACCGTATTTTCAGGTTAACGTTTAATGTCTCGTGTTTGTGTTCGGAGCAAGTTTTCTTGTTCAATGACAGGCGTGAGCAAGGGGCACAGGCCGCACCAGGTAAAGGTTGTCTTCATCCTGGAAGGCGTACTGCAGGTGCGTGAGCCAGGGGCTGCTGGCTCTGGCCAGGACGTCCCTCTCCTCCTCAAACAAGGCCACCTTTTTAAAAGCAAGACGTTGGCATTAGCACACGTTACACTGAACGATCTCCGCAGATGGAGGAAATCGCACCTCTTACAAAATGCAATGCTTTGTGACTGCCCACAAATCTGTCATAATACCGCAGGGTACAGCAATTGTGAAAACACGTTCAAGCACATTATAATGTAGCTGACAGCATCACAGAAGGGAAATTATTTTACGATGCAGTGAAACATTTACAGCTCGCATGTTCAGCAGATTTTTTTTAATGAAAATTTTAAATGTCATGAAGCTTACTAACAATAAAAAATTAACTCAATTTTAAATAATTATGTTTAAAACTGACATTTTGTCCTTTTGGGACTGCTTTATTCAAACATGAATCTTTTCCTTTAACATTATTTAATTGGGCAAATATTTATGAAATATGCCTGGCTGAATTTTCTACGTGAATGCGATTCACAAGAACACGATCATTATATAACCCAAATACAGATTATGTGATACTTCTGAGGGCTATCAAAGTTGTTTTATAATCATGGGCAAGGCAATGTAGTTAACTGTACACATCTATTTCTGAAATGTATTAAGTTCATTAAATTCACTGTATTATAAAGTGCACACCTAATTCACATTTGCATGACACTTTGAAAGATTTCCCATTTTTTTTCCAAAAAAGCAAAAGTTATGTTTTTCATAACAATTAAATACCACGGGTGTAAAATTACACTACATTATCCACAACCTTATGACGTGACATATTTAGTATCCCGAGCTTAAAACGATATCTGAAATGTCCTATTTTTCGCAGATGCAGTCTTCCTATAATCCAAGGAAAATAGGAGCCACTCAAAAGTGGCAGCAAATTAAGTATACCACTCACAGATAATTGGGTGGATATCGGGAGTAATTTTCACCAAAAGGTGGAAACAATAGCATCCACCAACATAGAGCTCCTATGTTAGTCATTCTTTATAAGACAATAAAATCACCATACATAGCCAACCATGCTAATCGGAGGTGCAGGGAAAAGACTAAACTAAACACAAAAAGCAGTTATAAAGATATTCGTTTTCAATCTCTATATATTAAAGTGCATTGCCCCAGTGGATTCCTTATATCGGAAGGAAGAATATTTCAGACAGCCGCAGAAGCGCATCTGAAAGCGCACGAGGCAGTGGCCATCTTTGTTCTACGGTTAGCCAAAAGCCGCTGCGACCTCATCGGACTTATGGAAAACGGGAAAAAAAAAAATCACAAGCTTCGTCGTCAACAGACACATACAAATAACCGAAAAATGTAACAGAAAACCCAGTACGTACATTGTCTCGGTGTAGAAGCCGGCTCTTCTGTAGCACCTTCATGGCGTACACGTCACCGGTGGCTCTCTCGCGCACCACCTGCACCTCGGAATGGTGGCCGCGGCTCACCACGCCTCTCACCTCGAAGTCCGATGAGGTCACACGCAGCTCCTGCAGCTCCGACACAGTCTCGGCATCTGCATTAAAACACGCGCCGGGAAACAGAGAAAAAATCGAACCGGAGCGAGGAACTGTTATTAAACGTTATTCTTCCGGAGCCAAAATCAAACCCACGTTTTTGTTGCATGTCACGGAATGAAAACTGGCAAACGAGGATGCACTTATCTGTTTAAAATACTGGTTAAAGATATATAAATAAATGTCACGCTTTGCAGCTTGGATGGTAAAACGTTGAAAAGGTTGCAATGCCTTAGCCAATGTCGCTACAGGGCACATTTAGCGTGGTCCCTCGATCACAGGGTAAAACGTCCAATACATATAAGGTGAAAGGTTACACTAAGACAGAGACAAACACATACCATAGTTACAGATACGCAGAAAGATGAATATAGGGCTAGAGGCACACATTTGTGATATTTTATAGTAAACGTTCATATTAAGAGGGCTTTGAAATTAAATGTGCCACAATTGCTGTTGCTCCCTGGGAATTTCAGATATTCACCTGCTACAAAATAACTGAATTCATGCAGCGCACACTTCCTTCAATAACAGAAAGCCAATTTACCTACATCAAAACCTTCAATTTTTTTAATCACTACAAGCAGGCTTTACGAGTCAATGTAATAATATTCACTACATTTGTAATCATATTCTTCAGAGGCCAGAATATATAAAGCAGTGCTTTTAAATAGCCTGTCAATTGCAGTTGGAAGTGGCATTTATTATTTCCCGTTCACACACCAAGGCGATTCATCATGTCAGGCAATTAAGTACACATTTATTTAATTCAAACTGAAAGAGCAGATAAATCTACAACTGCACTATAAATAGCTAGCTATTTTTGTTAATAACAAGCTATTTCAGATTCACTTTTCAAATAGAGTTATGCAGTCATTCACATACGTATATGGCAAGACAGCCTTTCACTCACGTTTACTGACAAAGTTGGCAATGTGGTTGTGCTTCATGAGCCCTGGGTCACTGCACTCCTCAAAGAGGACCAGGAGTGAGTCGAGAAGGCCATCGCGGGTGGCCAGGTACCGATGCTGCCCTGGCTGAGCAATCTTGCCCTGTAGGGGGCAGGGCAGCACAAGAGATTCACAAAAAACAAACTGAAATGCTCCCCAATTGCGTTTGCATCAGGAACCAAGTCGATCCTGTTCCTGAAGAAGCTGCCCGAGCACGTGGAGCGAGAGACGTGGGGACATCACGGTACAACCCAAAAAATGCATCGGACAGCTGCACAATACAACCATGGAAACCTTGCAGTTGTACATACTATTGCATTGTCTTTGTGCTATTCACCTTTTGGCGTTCTCTGGTCAAACACTTTGAGACTAGGCTCTAAAGAAAGCTGTCTCTGGTGTGGACCAATCAGTTTCAACGTTAATGCATATATTTTCAGAGCATGTTTTGTCTGCATGTTCACCACAAGTAAGTGTGGTTAATGCAGACAGGATTCCTTGCAAAAGGTTTCCGTTTGGTGTTTTAAGATCTTAACAACCTGTTTTATTGCCAGAAAGGGTAAAATCTATTCTTATTCTATTGTAATGGGTTATAGTTTTAGTTTTTTCCCCATCACTAAGCACCATGTATAGCTTTGCACATGTAAACCTAAACAACTTGACACATTTTATCTCTCAAAAAAAAACAATCACAAGCCATGTTCTAACAATTAAGGGTTTTACTGGAAAAGAGTTGATTCACCACACAATGAGCTGACCAATGAAACACTTTATTGCAGTCTCCCCGACAGATGGCCGCACGGTGGATTTCATAATGCACTTTTTTAAATTAATTAAATCACGCTACTCTCAACAAAAGCACACTTTCTGGACAATGGGTTTTCTGGGTTATCAGGATTTTTCCAGGAATCCTACAGAAACCAAGCGACTCGAGCAGGAAAAGCTGGTGTCAATGTATCGTGAAAAACCGGTGTCCATATATTGAGAAATACTGCATTGCATGCCGTTTCATTTTTATGTAATTAGTGCACTGTTAAAATGCTTAAATGTGTAACTTTACAAAAACACCAACGCAACATTTGGTTCAGCAAGTGCTGCTCTCTCATGCATTTGAAGAACTGGAGCAATTACCTGAAACAACTGATTCAGGCGAAGAAAGCGGCTGAAGATGGGTTCTGTGCCAGGAGAATCCGCACTTCCCTTCCAGCCTCGCTTAAATTTCATCATCTCGCCGTTTCAGCTTTCCCTTCCACAACTTATAATAAGCCTGGGGGTGCTTGGGGAAATGAAAATAAAACAACACAATAAGCAAGCTGCTTGTGGCAGAAATAAGTACAACGGGAAAGGTACCTTAAATCTCCCCACCTCTTGTCTACCCAGTAGTATAAATTGGAGAACCGCATCTAGTCCATCAGCAAGCAACGTCGTGTATGTGTAACGTAATGTGAGGATAACCCTCCCTCTTGCAAGGTGTCTGATCAGCATGAAAGTATAGACCAAAATACCCTCTAGAGGGGATTTCTAGAGGTGCCTCTGGCAGATGCCCTTCAGCCAGCAGAAGCAAGAGAAAGCAATTGCAGGGCTGGACCTTTACATTTACCTAAAGTAGGTTCACGTGGCACAGTGGTGAGCCCAATGCGTTTATGAAACTACCAAGCTGAGTTGAATGTTTGGTCACATCTATCATCAGCGGCTGAGCCTGTCCTGGTTGGCCACTTCACCAAATCGGAGTCGAGGCTGGTGAAGTTAGGATAAATAACATCCATGACCAATATGTTGGGGGGAAGCCTTCATCCAGTATTGGAATGACACAGGGATGTAAATTACTTATTTATTATAGCTATGTATTGCATATACCTAGCACGCAAACTGTGAGCCAAGAGTATTGTCCATAATATCGGTTTTTTGGGTTAAATTGCGTAAATATAAATGTGTCGTGAAACCCACCACCACCCGACACAGCCAATAAATAATGTTTGTCACGTAAACAGAACATGCCAATTTGTTATTCGTACAGCACACCGGTGTGTTGGAGAGCAAATCCACAACATTTACAATCTGAGTACGACATTTCGCCAGTAATTACAACTAGCAACATCAGGCGGACAGCAAGAGTATTGTGCCCGTTATTCTCTGGCGATCTGAGCTTGGCTGTAAACCCTTTAACATAGGGGTAAATATATCTTTGCAGTTATTAGCCTCTGTTCTTTCTTGGCCGTGGTAAGGATTTTTCTGCCAGTACTACAATTGATTCATCAGTGAATTAGAGTGCACAGAGTTACCGACAGTATATCCATTGTACTGTATTGCCAATTGGCTCCAGACGAGACAAACGGGCCCTCAACCCACAGTGTGACCCGTATCAGTCTGTAAATTTGCAGCTCTTATATGTATTAATCCATTGCTGGATGAGGGACCCCAGTGTAGCCGACATCTTCAACAGACAGGTGAAGGGCACAACCTCTGCCATTCCGTGCACGTATTTCAGTTGGGTGTTTGCGTCCCTCTGTAACATCCCATTTATTATTCAAATTATCTGGTGATGCTGCATTGGCAGAGGTGCACAAACTCTATTAGATAAATAAAAACATTTGTCACAACACTGCGGCAAAATAAAATGTAATCGGCGACGTTTTGGGTATTGCCCCTTCTGCATAGCACATAGAGGCCAAGGCAGATAGCAAGGGTTGGAGTTTTCGAATAACATGTGAATATATGCTCACTTACAATATTATCACAAAATATAACTTTTTATTTGTCATGAAGCACCATGGTTTTAAGTGCAGTCTCCACCCCTTATTTACCTCTATCTCTTTGCCCTCTCCATGTACTGTACATGCTATGAAGGGCCATTGCACGAAACGTCGCCGATTATATTTACATATTCATCTTTTAAGGCAGTGGGTTTTCCAATTAACATGGAACTCGCGAACATTGCTAATGGTCGTCAACTGAACAGTGGGCAGTCGGCAAACTATTAAACATCCCGAGATGATACCGAGATCATTCCGATTATTGCTAAAACTCGTCCTTAACCGATTGCAATGCGCACGCTGTGTAATCAATATTTTCTATCGTAATACAAATGACAACTTGTGTCAATCAACCGCTGTGTTGGTCACGGGGGATTTCTTTGTGCGTGTTTAACCATACTTCACCACACTGGTCCAGGACTACTTTAGATATCACTCGTTACTGATGTTAAGCCGTGAGCTTCATAGCTCATCGGATTTCACCAATAATAGTGCGCTAACCACTGCGCCACCGCTCCACCCCATAACGTACAGCCCCCTGAACACAATTCCGCACGCAATCATAGATATAGCATCGCGTTAACACCGAATCTTACGCGCTTTACCTAAAATGTAACATTATTTTCATGACCCACCGTCGCGTGACATGAAACGCATCGACATTCGGCCACATTTGTACAACCGCTACCCCAAATCGCATCGTCACATCGTCACCGAAAACGCGGGCAAAAAACAACAACAACACAATTAAAGCAAACATAAACTCGTTTTTACCTGTTCGGACACGCTCGGCGAATTACACGAGCCGATTAAAATAAGTAAGGGGAGTTTAATATAACGATTAAAAACATAAATACGCGCGGCGTTCGCCCTTCAAGTGTTGACTCTTCCACTCATTTTCGAATTTGTTTTCAAACCGACGCGCCAGCCGCTTCCCGCGCGTCATTTCCGGTATCGCATTAGCCGGGCCACGCCTACGGACGCAGCCGATTGGACGCCGGTGTCAGTGTCGGTTGTTGGGAGCGGTGGGGGGGCCTGAGCCAATCGCCGAGCGCCGATTGGTCCTTGCTGTCAACTCTCGGTGGGGGGGGCGGTGCCCTAAGCCAATTGCCGAGCGCTGATTGGCCCTTGCTGTCGATTCTCGGTGGGGGGGGGTGCCTTAAGCCAATCGCCGAGCGCTGATTGGCCCTTGCTGTCGACTCTTGGGGGGGGGGTGCCCTAAGCCAATCGCCGAGCGCTGATTGCCCCCCTGCGGTTGACTCTCAGGGTGGGTGGGGGTGCCCTGAGCCAATCACCGAACGCTGATTGGCCCTTGCGCGCGACTCTCAGTGTGGGTGGGAGTGCCCTGAGCCAATCACCGAGCGCTGATTGGCCCCCTGCGGTCGACCCGAAGAGGGGAGGGGGGGCGTGTTCAGGCGGAGCTTCGATGCGGAACTCCTCCCAGCAACAAGCAGCAGCGGCGCCACGTGGCACATGAACTCCTCTACTTACGATCATTCGACTTAAGGACTTTCAGAGATACCAACAAACCTGTCCCTATGTCCAGTTGCAGCTTTTCGGACCGAGAGCCGTAAGTTCAAACGCCGCGTAATAGATGGCGGTGGTGGCAGCTACATCTGCAGAACGTGAAGAACTATTGGCATCTACACGAGATTATACAACTTTTAAAACCATTCCCCGCGTTTAGTGTACATACCGGACAACATGTTTGGAATCGACAGGAGGAAAGTTGAACTTACGAACAAATCGACATTCGAACAGGCATCTGGAACCTAACTCGTTCGTAACTAGAGGAGTCCCTGTACTGGATGAATCCGATGAGCTATTAAGCTCTTTTTCACAGATGTCCAGTAAACTCTTTTGTTATTCTAGCAGATGAGGGCCACTGAGCGACCTAGCCACAACCGATAGCTCAACGAAGTGGCTTAAGACGTGGACATTTATAGCAGCTAAACAGTGTAAAAGCATGTTGATTATAAATGTGAAAGGTAAAAACCTGAGGATCCGGAGAAAAATACACACGACCAGGGGAGAGAGAACACGCAAACTCCAATAATATAGGCGTCAGGGTCGAGGTCGAACCCACGACCTCCTGTATACCAGGCGAGGTAGTTAACATCTCGCCACCGTGGCGCCCAAATGATTGCCCGCATAGATTAAACACTTTTTTTTACAAATATGATAGGTGACGTGTCGAGCAAAGGACCTGTCTTTATAGCTCCTGTGCTATAAAGAAAGTGCAATTGCATAGATAATAGGCGACGTTTTGGGCAATGGACCTTCCTAGATCATGCCCTGTGGGATCCAGCATATATGTAAAGATATAAATGATTTACGATGTTTCGAGCAGTGGTTCTTCTTTATAGCACATTAGCTTATATTTTCATTTTAAGGCAGTGTGTATTTACGAATGTGTTGAATTGTCTATGCTATTTGTGCTTGTGCACAACTGCCAACGCAGCACCATATATTTGGCATGGAAGAATAAGGAGCTGTGAATCAATGCCTTGCCAAGCCATCGCATTGAAGTTGTGTACGGTATCGTATTGCAAACCATAGGTGTAAGTACAATGTAAGTGTATGTATTTTGTCTCATCTTTCCTCCTGGCAATCGGTGGACTAAATTTATAAGGTCACTTGCAAATAAGACTATCCTTGTCGATTGATTCTAAACCCAGTTAAACAAAGGAACGAAACTGCCTTGTGATCAAATCATCCAAAATGCGCCTCATTTCGTCAGATCTCGGAACAATGGGCGACCATTATGCATAACAATTGGTAATATTGTCTGTTCAGATAAATTGTACACCTTTTTCGATTTAAAGCTTTGGTGACTGCAGGGATTCATCTTCTTGGTTCTTTCGGTAAAGTCACGTAGAAGGGAAATAATAAAATAATAATAAAACATAATAAAATAATTCTCACGACGTTTCGGCCACAACGCAAGCAGCCGTCCTCAGGTGAAGAACAGGTCTGTCGAAAAGACAGCGTCTGAATGAACACCACCAGGCTTGGCAGCGTATATTTAAGCTGGGTTGGAGGGGGAAGAGCGCCTTGACAAAATAATTTGCATATCAAGAGGAATTTAGCATATTTATGGGAAATGCAGATATAGGATTAGTCACTACTTGTGGAATGCGTAGTCTTTCCGACAGACCTGTTCTTCACCTGAGGACGGCTGCTTGCGTTGTGGCCGAAACGTCGTGAGAATTATTTTATAATGTTTTATTATTAATATTTAATTATTTCCTTCTACATGACTTTACCGAAAGAACCAAGAAGATGAAATTGTACACCGTTGTGCAATACAGTGCTATGCTCGTACCCCCCCCTATGCACCCCACTTTCACAGCCCCCACTGACCAGCACGAACTGTCAACAAATAATGCGCCTCAAGCGGCGCGGCGTGGGGGTGACACTCATCCAGCAGTGGCACGACAATGGGCTACACATGTGCATGTTAACACGTTGAAAGAAGAGCAGTCCATCTGGTGGGACTCGTGGGAGCCACACAGAAATGCTGGCTTGGGGACGCAGGCACGCCCGGACCCCACCCGCCCTCACCAATCGTAACGTGACCCCAAGCTCTCCCCCACCCGAGCCCATCAACCTACTTACAGAGATACAATGGAGATGGCGTGCTTCGTGAACACAGAAGATACGGCTTGCACTCCGGGAGATCCTATTTCACAATTTAAATGTTCAAATATATACATTTTATATGGAGGCATTCGGCTATATAAAAAACAAGAAAAGCTTTAACTTTGATTTAAAAAAAAGTAATACCATGATATGCCTTCACTAATTCGTACTCACCAGCGTGAAGTGGTCTAAAAACCCCAATACGACAATATTGTGCCACATTTGAGTTTATACCACAGAAATACATCCAAAGTACGGTACTATGCATACTGTTCTGATCACAGACTCGTTTTCCGCTTCTCCCAACACAAACGTAAATTTTTGTTTAGTCCATAAACATTTGTGTTTCGCGTATAAAATGTAATTGCTGCCCAAATAATACTGTGTATTTGCAAAAGTCCTTCCCATATCAGTCATGGAGTTATATAAATATATTATAACCCGTCTCGTTACTTCCGATTAGCAAGGTTGGCTACATACAGTGCGAAATAAGTTAAACATACATACATTACATTTTCGACAGTAAACCTTTCCAATTGTACAAATTAATTTAGAGCTTACTTGACATCACCAAATCCAACTCCCCAAATGTATTCAACCCATAAAACGGTGACAGGTTGCCTTAAGCCGGCCCATAGTCTAGCACGCCGAGCTGTATTGATTGTTTAAATCTCTCTCATAATAATTATTTAATAGGTTTTTGCGCCCGTTGCCCAAAGCGACCCCGTCAGAATTTCCATGCGGTAAAACCCCAGCGATCGGCTGTACTCTTGTGAGTTGAGAAGCAATCAGTCCACACTCCTGTAAGGCAATTGAAGCACCCTGAACAATTGAGTCGGACGAGCCGGACGGATGAGACGCCCTGCCATCTGGTGGACATCTGGAAACGCCACGCCAAGCCACGCCACCACGCAACGCCGTGGCTGCGTTATTGCCGCAGAAACTCGTGGTTCTAACGCGCGCATTTAGATGATCAATGTATATGTGCTAATGCGCTATGAGAAGGGCCATCGCTCAAACGTCAGATATTATATGTTTGTTATATATCATGTTTCTTTGGACTTTCCGTGTAACACACATTTACTAATGAAGCGATTGTTACTCTTTGGTTCTTTCGGTAAAGTCACGTAGGTAGAAATAAAATAAAATAAATCACGACGTTTCGATCGCAAACCAAGCAATCATCACCAGGGGATTGCTTGGTGAGGATTGCTTGGGTTGCGATCGAAACGTCGTGAGTTGTTTAATTGTATTTCTACCCACGTGACTTTACCGAAAGAACCAAAGAGTATGGATTCCTGCAGTCACGAAAACTTCAAATTAAGATTGAAGGGAGTGTTATTTACGAATGTATTTTTTTAATGAACCACGACCAACACTATTAGATTAAAATTTAGCTCACTTATATCTACAGATGACTGAATATTGTGCAAGCAATAGCTTCGTGTCTTGCATAGGAGAGTGCTAAAATCTTAAATACGTGCATTGAGATTCATGGGAGACATGCAGAAGCTTTGAAATCAACCGCTTTGCTCTATAGCAGTGGTTCTTAACCTGGGGTGCAACGCACCCCCTGGAGGTGAGAGACGTGCCAGATTTTATTTTAGAATTTAAATCATCGAAACAAAAATGAAACCTATGTATTTATGAACATTATGAATGTTTACGATTAAGAACCAAAGGGGTGCAGGCTGCAGTTTAAGAACCATTGCTCTATCGACGTTCTGTCGATTACTTTAGAGGGGTATTTATAAACGGATCACCACAATAAAATAGTCTATGCATGGTATGATGCACCATTCAAGCTGTTAAGAAGAGTAAGTGGGCTTGAGCGGGACATGTTGCGAAGAAGGGCGATGTCCCACGGTCGAGAATAATCCAGGGAGTAGCAGCAACCAAGAGACGGAACACCTCCGTTTGGACGTCAATTGAGAAGCTGAAATGATGAGATCAGCTCGTTCTGCAAGGTATTCCGTGGATTATTACAGCACACGTTCGTGAGAAATTGACGACTTTGATACAGCTTGATACAAGAATATATTCACCATGGCTGACGATAATTTACAGGCCAAGGGGTCCGTTATTTATAAATAAACCCCTCTCTTTCTATGCGGCCAAATGTCGGTGCTGCGCGGCTGCTTATCAATCGCACCGGTGCTGTTCATATCACTCTGCAGTTGTGTGTAAGTGCTATGGGGGGAGCGGTGGCGTAGAGCGGTTAGCGCGCTGCGCTACGAACCCAGCGACCCGAGTTCGATTC